GCTTTGCCCCCTGCTCTTCAACCATGTCGGTTTTGTTACGACATGGGATAATCCAAGACTTAAGACTTTGTTTGGCCCCATGGATTTCTCGTCCTGCATGGTTCCATTTCCGCACGAGTCACATAGTCCAGAATGCAATTACACGAAAGTACATATAAGTAACGCCTTGAACCCTGATATGGTCAATTCTACATGCCCCAAATGGATTGATTCTGGCAGCACGAATGCCGCAGAGTCAATGGCAACGTCACTATGTAAGCGTCATCCCACAGATGGACTGCTTTAAGTTATCCTTATCGATACTTATTACGCACGTTTCATTTAACAAAAGATTGCCCTTTTCCTTCCTTTTTGTGTCTACATTTCCCACCCTCAACACCTTGACTCGTGGTCTAGCCCTTCGTCTTATATGAGTATCTCACATCCACCACGGCGTCCACTTCACTCGTCAGCAGGTTGACATTTGAGACTCGTCAATCATCTCGAGCTTTGCCGAAGCGTCTGTCCCTCTCACAGTCAGAACCAGGAGCGGACCCATTGACGGCCTCGAAGGACATCTTCTTCGGGCAGCAAAGTTTTTTCCCAGCGACCCAGGCCTGACAATTTTGCGAGTGTAGTTCCCAAGGGTCATAATTATTAGCATTCTGTATTATCTCCATTCTGGGAGGTCCCCAAGCAGCCATCCATGGACACCTGCAATGAAGAGGTCCTTCAAATCCTTACATGTTAAGTATGAATAGGAAGCTCCAGTGCGGAGACGACGTTTATATTGCCTACAGCGTACGTAGAGCACCAACGGAGCATCACGAGACACCATTGATGGGACATGGAACTTCTATGAAGCCTGCGTATGAAAACGGAGAAGTTGCTCATCATGGCTACCAAGCAGACACATACAAGGATACACGTGAGCCTCTCGATGGTTTCCTTTCCCTATCAAAAACAACTGTGAAGAGTCTCGACAAAGTAAACGACACACAAAGCATACGTACAAGTCCTCACAAATCACCCCTCACGAACCTCATAAACAAAAATTCTACCCCTGCCCTCTTCTGGGGCGAAATACAGTCTCACTCGTCCCCCGACGACAGCAACATCCATCGGGTTCTTCGTCATCAGCACGCTCTTCCTTCCAATGCTCCCTTCTACGTGGTTCTCCTTCCTCATCCACGGCACAACCCCTGTTCTCTCCATAAACGGGACCTCCCACAAAGGAACCATCCTCTCCACTTCAACAATCGCCAGCCCACCCACTTCCAACCCTGGCGCCAGCGTCGCAATGCCAGAGCAAAGCATCAGATGCCTCCCGTCGACGGTGCCGAGAGATTTACAGTCTTGGTAATCGATCCAGTGTGAAGGATTCACGATTGTAGTCAGAGGTTCATCGACTTCCCCATCGTAATCCACTTCACCCCGTTTGCCAAGTTGAGCCTGTTCCCCTTTCCTGATCCCACCACCAATTTCGCCCTCCCATTTCATCTCGGCCTTGCTTAAATCCCATCTCCTCGCAACTCTCCCACCCCAACCCAAGGTCGTCAACGTCCTATTGTGGACATCATGCACGATCCCACCCTGGTGATCTGCCACCTTGAAGACCCTCTCCATCTCCACGCTGACCGGATCAACCCTCACCACTGTCGCCGTCGAATTCGGCCGGTACTGCGAGAGCGTAGCCCAGATATGCCGCCCGTCAAAATCAATCCCTCCGTTATGATACTATTTCCTCCGTTAGCCATCTGTCTGACTTCAAGCGGGCTGCAAAGTGACACAGGCCCCCAAAGAAAAGAGAATCGGGGTGGAAAGAATGTCCGAGTCGAGATTTACCTCCAAGTCCCCTTCCTCGGAAACAACCCAGTCCCCAAGACGTTTTCCGCGCCCATCAAACACCACGAAATGCGCAAAACCTGCCCCGGCACTCCGATCCGTCCCATCAATCCATTTTCCGTCAGGATACTTCTCCGTTGGGACCGTATACTCCCCTGCCGAAACCCAGAATCTTTCCTCATCATCACTATCCTCCTCATCAGCCTCCCCTGGGTCCCGTTCTCTGTCACTCCCCCCTACATCACCACCCGCAAGCCTCACAATTCCCTCCGGCTCCCATAATTCCCCCTCAAGCTCAATAACCTTGACAAGATCCAGTTTCGTACTCGACCGAGACAACCCCGTTAACTGCTTTACAATCTCCGGGCCATCCCGCGCAGCCCCAGACCCAGGAAGCGGCACGGGCGCGAGCGGGACATTGGGCGTCGGCCTCGTGACATGGTTCCACTCCATCATTCCTTCTACGACCCTGCTGCTGGCCAAAAGCAACAAGAGGAAAGGGCGCGGCGCCCGGACCCTCATCACGGTTATTTCGTGGACGCGGTCTCCATGTAAGGGCACGAGACTTGAGGGAATGTGAAATGTAATCGTAGAAGGGACAAGATTGGATAAAATGACGGAAATTTGAAAGGTCAAGTGCTGTGGATGGAGCAACGTGAAGCGATCCCTAGCCCAGCCGGAGACGTCGGAAGAATTCATGTCGATCAGGTCCCGCCTCGCAATTCCCCGCCCCGCATTTCCCCGCCCCGGCCCGTGTTGTAATTACTCATACACCCGTTCCAGAAGAATTAGAGGCACGTAGGTCGAGAGCCCAACCACTGCATCGGATGACGTTACGCAGGTCCCAGTGCCGTATCGGGCTTTCTGACATTCGATACAAGTTGCCTGAGCGTCAAAATCCTTGGTTTGGTGCGCTTGCCAATTGTGGGGGAAACGTCCCAACATGAGAACACAAGTCGCGTCATATCAAAGGGCTCGCGGAGCATCTTAAGTAATCTAATCCTCCCGATCGATCGAATACTAAATACAGTGTGGAATCACTCACACGAACAATCACCGACGTGATATACGGTATAAAACATCATACCATGATGCCGGCAGCTTTCAAGCCGGGCCTGCTTTGGTCCCCAAAACTCCAGAGTACTCCGTCATGTACAATACTGCGCATCGCTAAGTAGCAGGCACAGGGCTTGACTATCGTTCTTCATCCATCCATACATTAAGTCTCATAACAGTCATCTGGCATCAATGTGTCAGACCGTCGTGCCGCCGCAGTCCGGTATAACGACGCCAGACTTGACCTTGCGGTTGACGTCCATCAGACCCCATTGATCCTCCCAGTTCTTGTCTTTTTCGTTGTACATGATCTTCCATGGCTCATCAAAGGCCGAGAACCAAAAGTAGTTGGTACCATTAGTCAAAGCGGGACATACCCACTTGTCCAACAGCTCATTCAGCTCGTCGATACCGGCAACTGAGGCATTGGGGCAGCCGGTAGCAGTGCCATCACCGCAGCTTGTGCCACCTTTGGTCGGCCAGCCAATCTCGGCAATCACGTTCTTCTTCTTGTCCGACTTGAAGAAGCTACCGGCTTGGTTCTCCCAGAATGCGTAAGTCCACATGGCTGCGTCCTTGGCGTTGGTCCCAGAGAAGAACGGGTGGATGTTGGCCATGATGTAGTCACTCTTTGACGCCAAAGATGCCGTCCAGTCGTCGCCCAAGTCCGAAGTTGCCACAGGCAGGCTCAGTCCCTTGCTGGTCAAGTTGGTTCGTACCTCTTGGAGCAGAGACCCCAGTTCCGACTCGGTCATTTGCTTCCGGAACAGAATCTCATTGGCGACGATGAGACCCTCAAAATGCTTGTCTCCGTACTGGTCCAGAATATCCCACATCTGGGAGAGTTGTCTCGCGTTGGTCGTCTTGTTGCCATCCTGCCATACACCCAACCAGATCTTCACTTTGCCCTCTAGTTTGAGTTGCTCAATTGAGTGGATAAGCATCTGCGTCTGGTTGCAATCTGTGCCGTACAAGCGGACAGTGTTGGTCAGTTGACTAAGAACAGCAAGATCACGGGTGATGTTGTTCTGTGACGGAGGATTGTGATAACAGTCGGGGTACTGGGAATTGAGAGGCGTATAGTCCATTCCGGGAAACACCTTATGCAGTTCCTTATTGTTCATAAGCGCTTTGATCTCGGCACTATCGGCGTTGAGGTCTCCGTTGGAATTCTTGTCGTCGTCTGCTGATTGTCCATTTCCTGAGCTGTTGCCATCGCGACTGTTTCTTGAAAGCAATCCACCAGCAATGCCACCAGCAATGGCGCCTGCAATGAGGAGGATAACTCCTAGAATGATGCAGCACTTCCACTTTCTGCGCCCCTTGTTTTGCTGCGCCATCCATTCCGATTTCTTCTCTGGTGAGCTGAGGTCGATGGCGCTGCCGTTTTGGTACTCGGCCGTTCCCTTGGGGTCGTAGTAGCCGCTGATGTTTCGGTTCGCCATCAACCCTGCCGTGGCACCTCCCGCAGCAGCCGCACCCGCCGCAGCAGCTGCGCCAGCTGCTTTCGTCTTGCCTGTCCGATCGCTGTTGGAAAGACTAAGCATAGAGTTTCGTCCACTTTTGGGCTTGCCGTAGTCTAGACCATCATCACCATCGTCCGCAATAGAGTTAGGATCCACCACGCCAAGGTTCTGAGGGTGTCTTTGGTAGTAAGGGTTTTCGTTGTAATAGTCGTTGTAGCCGTATGGGCTGGAGGATGGAGATAGCCGGGCCGGGGAAGCGCCAGCTCCGCCAAGAGCCGTCAGGCTGGAGTGTGAGTCTCGGTCTGGGAGACTGCCCTGGTAGCTACCTTGGTAAGGACGCGAGACGGCATTGCTCATCTCGTACACGTCGCCTCCCGGTTGACTGTAAGCTTGTGGTGGTGCGCTGGGCTGCTGCGACTGTCCTTGCGGGATCTGGCCGGCACTTCTCATGGCACCAGCCCCGCTCTCCCTGGCGTTACGTTCGGCGACGGTATAAGCGATACCAGCCATACCTCCTGATGCCGTGTCGCTAAAGTTATCCGCGCCAGGTGTAATATTCGGATTCAGATTGCTCTGTTGTGGAGTCGCATAACGATCGGGGCCCCAGTCGCGGTGCACCGGGGGTTGCGGAGAGTTGTCGATGGGGGATACGGCTTGATGAGCTCCGTATGCAGTAGCGGTACCGCCCACGGCACCGACGGCAGCCGGTGGTGGTCCCTGGCGATCGTCCCTCCGCTCAGCTCTCATGCGACCAAAGTTCGGATCATGATTGGGGTCGGAGTACTGATAGTCGTGGCGGTAGTCATGAGGCGCACCACGGTGATACTGGTTATCTTGGTAGTACTCTGGAGGATTGGGAGTGTGAGACCGATAGGCCTGATCTAGAGGCTCCCGCTCGGCGTCGCGGCCGTCTTCAAAGTCGTATCGCGGCATGTTTCGGGCAGAGTGTATATTTTCGAGGAAACGTCTCGTAACCCTCGTGGGTTGAATGGTTGACTGACCAACAGCCAAGAAGTCCTGTTCGATTGTGGTGGATGAGGGAAGCGGAAAAATCGAGGGACGCTGGGTAGACGGGAGTCGACCTGGGAGGATGGCTGGCTAATGCGTGCGGCGGTTGCAGGAATGCGGGTGCAATTCCAAAATGTCTCGGAACAACGACTGTTTAATTGTGAGTGCGGTTCTCGCTGAACTCGGTATGTGCAAATATCCCGCTCAATCATTCCAGTATAGCGACTGGAGAGATGAGATGGGGAAGAGACTGCACCAAATTGAAGAGGTGCATGGAGAAAAGACGATGCAGATGGGAAGGAGGCAAAGAAACACTAACCTCCGTGCACCAGGTCGCTCAGTGACTCGGATTGAGAAGCAGGCAGGCAGGCGACGCAAGCTAGTCGCCTCCGCCTAGTAGGAGTGTCTGGGCGAGTTTGGCGGTGGTTGAGCGTACCAGAGCAAGTTCGTAGGACAGCCGCAGGCACGTTTGTCACGTTTGCTTGTTTGAACGGGCGAGGAGCGGGAAGCCGGGGAATCACCGGTACGACACTGTCGAAGGGGAGGAATCAGGCGTTTCTTGAGATGATGATTGTCTTGGAACCCTGGATACGATTAGGAATAGGGGAATTGCGGATTGTCAAAATGGGCTTCGCTAAGCCAGGGAAACGGTAAGGGGAGAAAAAAGGTAGATGTTGAGGTGAGTGAAGTGTGGTGCGGTGCCTGGTCAGCGAGAATGGCGAGCAAGCCACCGAGAGTGTTAGGCGCGGAAAATCTAGCTGGGCATTCAGGTGTTTTGCCCGCAGCAGCGCCAGGTCAGAAGTTCGTATTTTGGTACACCCGTGCGGCTCCCTTGTCTGGCGTTGCGCTTGCTCGTATTGGCTTGCGGCCCGTTTCCAACTTTTGTCGAGGAGCTCGAGTACCGGTATCTCTCCGCGGGGTGCGCGCGCAGCAAGCGGGAGCCGGATGAATCGTTGTATGGAGTGGTTCTCCTCAGAGATGCTTGATACAAGGCTTGGAAGGATTGTCGTCGGCGTCGGGCATGGGGCATTTGAGAGGAAAGAAGGAAGGATACCGATATAGTAAGGTGGGTAGCACGATGAACGGTGGCTTGGGTGGTCTTGTGGTCGTGGATGTTGGCTTTTCAATCTTGGCCAAGGAAGACAATGAGGAGGAGCCCGACGTCAATCAGTGGAAGGGGACTACTGCACCGTAGTACTCCATGCCGCAGATGCGACTGCGATACCTATACGTGAGTACCTCGGAACACTCTGTACCGCGGAACCTGCGAAAAGAGGCAAAATGCGCGCGTGTGTGAGACAAATTGGGGGGGGCCTCTTAAGTTTTAACGGGATGGGATGGCAGGAACGGGGCAGGTACAGCTGAACCCAAGGTACCTACTCCGTATATGAGCAGGTAGTAAAGCACTTCGTACCTGACCTTTCGGGATTGGTTTCTTTCTCAGCCATATTCTTCCTCTGTGTGAACAGATTGGGGCAAATTGGCTTCGGATGCCGTCTACTCTCACTGGCACACATACTCCGTACTTTACGTAGTATGAGTCTCTCGACAACAACGGCAATGATACCTCCAAACTGGAATCTGTGAAGGAGGTACTCACCAGCCCCGGTGCTCACGGGACTCCTCACCAACCCGACTGTTCTTGCCCTGCCGAGTGCCGTCATCAAGGACAGGGGAGCACTTTGGGATGATGGGATCAGACTGAAAGAGTGGAGTGAGAGCTGCTGGCATTGCACCTTGAAAACAAACCTACATAGTAAGAGTAAATAAGACCAGCCCCGCCTGGTATCCGTCTAGGTAGTTTTCTCGGAGTGAAAAGTAAAATCAGACTAGGGAAAAGAAGAGGCACATACCACACCACACAGTGGGGGGGGGGGGGCAAAAGGCCCGCCGCAAAGGTGGGAAAAAGCAAGGCAGCCCGAGCCAAGCAGGTTTATTTTGAGTCCCCGTCCGGGGCAACATGGGAAAGAGCGGCACTTTCTGTGCAACCACCGATCCATGCCTGTCGAGCTCCAGCCGTAAGCTCATGAGATGCAAACATCACTCTCTGTTTTGAACTTCACCTTACCCTGGCTGCCTTGCTACCGGACAGTACTTGGACCTGGGCGATTATCCATGCCTTCTGCCAATGACGGCTGAGACCGTTGGAGATGGCGGAGGCGAAGGTGCTTAAAGAGTACCTCCGTTGGATGCATTTAAGGAAGCGGCTGTGCAGAGACCGCAGATGACTAAATCCCCGAAAAGCAGCCGGTGCTTTACTCAAGGACACGGCTGCGACTGCAATCTAAATAAGACCAACGACAAATCGCTGACTGCAAACTGAGTGTGCCTACCGGCGAGTCTGAATGTTTCTTTAGTGGGCCGAAGCCCTGGCTGTTGTCGCCCCGGCGCTATGGGCCGACCGTGGTTGGCTAAGCGACCACTGTCGCCCACCTACCTTGTCTTTTTGAGGTGTGACTGCGCCCCTTTCTATAAGCCAGCCCACCCTGTCCTTCCCCCTGGAAGCCCGTGACCCTCACTGCCCACTAGCCCCGATGATCCAGCCATTCGATTGTCGTTCCTGTCGTCCAACCTCTTCGTCTCACTTGCTTAGTACGAATACTTGCTCGCGGTACTCCATACCTGAGCGACGGCATCCGCGAACAGCAGTAGAACTGGCTTCGTCCTCAAAACGGGCCGTCACCGACTTAATCGCTCCGACCACCAGGTTGTTGACGGTTGCCGAGTCAAGGCTACGACAGAAATCTGTTTTTCTAACAAAAGTATTGTCCGTGGAGGGCACGAAGGGCATAGTGGATTCAGTCATGCAAACTGCGACGGGGCCGGCGATCGTCAGGTCCACATGCCACCAAGTCCACCAAAAGCAGTACACAGAAACAAGCACCATCCATTTACACAACCAACCTCCAGAGAATCAGTCTATCGAAATCCGAATCCCATCATTTCCCGCCCGTCAACTCTTCACACGACTCCGGCACTTTGTACGGATGGACAGTGACGATCAGCACAACCCGAAACTGTCATCCCATCCTATGCTTATTTCACTTCCTCCCTCCAATGCCGCAAAATTTCCCGACCCCTCTCAAATAAGAAACCTCGGCCACCTTACTACACCAATCTATCTCCCTCTAAAATCAGCAAGGAAACCCCTTTTGCCATGACTCTGGAGAAGTCCCCGTCACCTCAATGCCCCTTCATCTCAATCAAATCGCCCTTGTCGCCTTCCGCCTGCACCCTAGCCGTCGTACACTATACTTTGGCCCCCGCAAACCCCCCTACCAAAAACACCAAACTTGAAGCACACTGAAGCAGCACCGGCCCTGCTTCACCACCCCTACGGAGTACTGCTGCAACGCTAACCCATGTTTTACGCATGACATCACCAAATAGCTTCAAACAGGAAATATCCCCCTTCAGTCATCGAGCGCTCTCCTTTGCTCTAGAGCAATTGATGCTACGTGATAATTTTAGCTTTTCCACGAGTGTTCACTAACACAGCTGAAAGCGAGAGAAAGAGATGAGAAAAACCACGCCACACTCTTTTGCCTATGCTGCTGACACTTCAGCTGACGCCACATTATGTCTGCCATCTGCTTTGCCAGCGTCCCGCTTTGCGCCGGCCTGATCTAGTCTCGTAAAATACACAGGCCACTGTCCTATTCTCCTGAGAGGCTCTGCGAGATTGCAAACCCTCGTATCGGCGACTCAGGCGCTTTGCGAAAAGGGCTGTTCGACCAATATGTCGGTCCATAGCGCGGTTAGTCAACTCTCATTGGAGTGAACCATAATTTCTATCTCTGTCCCCAACTACCCTCAACTACTGTCCGGCATCCTTTCCCCCTCGACGTTTTCGTGTGAGAGGTTCCCGCCAATACCAGTCACCTCCCACTCTTGGAGACTAAACTCAGATAACATGCGAATCACTTCCGCAACCTTATCCACAAACCCTGAGACTAACGCGCGCAGTATTGCGATACTTGGATCAGAATTGTGTCTATCGCAGCTTTATTTCATTAATGGGTGTTGATCTGCCATGTTGGTGCAGCAAGCACGTCGAATGGCCAAAGCTAAGGTAGCTATTTGCAAGACAATCGAAGTGTAAGTCATCGAATCTTCGTCAAGTCCCCATTTGGTCTCGCGTGAATTTTACATACGCTATATGAATCTCGTGTCGTACTGTAATCATTGTCGAAATGCTGGGGGATTTATTTAAATGTTGTGAAACCACCCAGCCGATCTAGTACTTGTAACTCCAAGTAGACAACATACCAATGAGCCAGACGAACTGTGATTTCTTAGATGGAAATAGTGTATTTACAGTAACTGAATTGCCTCAAGTCATTCTGGTGTAAATGAAGAATCATTCCAATGCGAAAGTCATCCGTTAACATCATGATGGTGCGTTTCCGAGCCCGTCTCGTACGACGTGTATCACATGCAGCGATGCTGGGTGAAAGGTCTTGTTTCGCAGCTACGGCAGTCTAGAGGAGATTATTGTTTAAGGCTTCGCGGTCTTCTTAAATTACAACCGTCCGTATCCCATTACAGCGGTCCTGAACCCAATGCATAATGAACAGCCCTTCCAATAGCTCGATGAAGGCAAGTCTACTTACATGCAAACTTCAATTCAAATGTGGCCATATATGCCTGAGCCGGTCCCAACACAACGAAATGGACGTTTTTCCACAGACCTCAAAGATAGATTCTTCTTCAAACACGAACAAGTGCATACAGGTTGAAGTCCTGGTTCACTGATATCGAAGACTGCGGTGTGGCCGGTAACTTCGCAGCGATGAACGATCTCTGTTGCCTTCGCTCATCAAAAATAATCACGAGCTTGTATCAGCGATGTAATGGCAGGCTAAAATGTCTCACATATGACCGGATGAACGACAATGAGCCGTATCTATGTACGCCTGCTTTTGAATCAGTATCTGTAGTCACAGCGCTACTGAGCAGTTACGAATTCCGAAGTCTATGGAGCATCAATTACCGCGTATCCTGTTATCAGATATTTTACGAGCTAGAGCTAGCTTAATCAAACCTACAGACCTTGTTCAACAAATTCCTAGTGAGGTACTCGTTTTACTTGGTCAGAAACAACCGCTCCCAAGAGCACGAGATCTTTTGGCTTGAAAACATGGCCTGAAGGCATCTGTCTACTAGTCTAATGCAGTGACAAGCCGAAATCGAGAGCGTTTTCCTTCATCTAGTAAACCTGTGGGCGAAAGGTGAAGCTTGTAACATCCATGATGCTGGCCACAACTCACTTGCAACGATCGCGGTGGCACATAACCGTTACAAGGCTAAGTTACACGTACAATATTATCGCATCATCGCTATACGACGTCACTCAGTAGCTACGATATCTCTATTCTGATCCGATCAGCAATTGGAATAGAGCCGTCAATTCCTACAAGGTGATAGAAGGCACATAGCGATCACCTGAGACTGGTGAACAACGTAGGAAGATAGATACAGAAGAAAGACTGACACATACGCCATTTCCCACCGTTATATCCCATTTACGCGACGTTTCTGTCCTTCTTGTTTGTTTTGCTTATGCTTTCATGAGGGAAAGAAGTGCTTTCAGGAGTATTAATAACACCGAGCTAAGAATTGTCGTGAAAATACGATATGGCTGATAGTTTTCCAACAGTGGTACTTATAAGAGGAAACCACGCATCTTATGTTGTCAAGCAGGGGCGGCGTACAGGGGCAATATCTGAACTTTTATCATTATGTTCGATTCGACGAACGTTCACCCTGGAGCGGAACGCTCCGTCTTCTCAAGCATGTCATTTGATGTCTATCCTAAGTGCATCTTTTGAATAAAGATAAGGCTTAAGGACTGGTTGATAATCATGATTGTTAGCCTTTGTCTTTCTCTCATCCATGCAAGCGGTCTTGAGGTATCATTTTGAACTGAATTGCCTTGCCCGATTCTTAGCTTTGATAACATCCATTCACTGGATAGTATGTATCGTCTGCGAACTGGACAGACGTACTTCTGACAATTGAGATTCAATTTGCCAGGTGATGTCTCATCTTAGGTAATACCAAGAGGGACCCTCGGACCAGTACTCGTAGAGAGCGATAGGCTGGTGGTGTGGATCGACTCGGTTATCGGCAGGCAGGTGAGACGGAGTTGGGCCCCATCACAAGTGTTCCAGATTTCGTTGAAGCCCCTGGCTCAGACTGGAAAGCCCCCCCAACATGGCACATCTACCAAACCCAAGAACTTGTCGCCAGCCCGAAAGCTCGCACTTGCGTGATACCTCAGTCTTCACATTCACAGCTATGCTAGTGTAGAATTGGAATCACTTGGAATTGACTTTTCCATCCTAAAATCTCGTTCTACGGTCGTTCCATGCACGATCCGTCTTGATAGACGTGCAGACATTGCTTTACCGCTCGTTTCATAACCGCCCGTCCTGCGCTAAGCACTTGAAAGATATGAAACATGTCAACGCGACACTACAGATGTATCAAAGGGTTTGCTTGGCTGAGCACGGATGACAACAACAGGGGTCATCGCAAGTCCACTTGACCTCCTCTGCTAGGGAACCAGGACTCAGGAGCGCAAGAATTTGTTCGGAGTTCCATTGGACATCATCCCTCCCATGATGGGATGCCCATCCCTCGCGCGTGAATTGAACTCTCAAACAGCCATTGTAGCCGAGCAGAATGAGCCGGTATATCCTGTATTATGGGGGAAAGAACCCCGTTTGCGGATCTTACGATAGACAAAACCAAGACGGTCCCCAGGTTTGATTATCCTCCCCATACACCGTTGTACGATTGCTATTGTTCCCTCGTTCTGCATTTTCCAGCACGTTGACCCTCCCGTTGTTACTTTTTTTTCCAACATCAAAATGCCCCCCAAAAGTAATCACTACTCTACCGTGTCGCACTCGGATACCTATGATGATTCCACTACTGAAGTTGACGAGTCACTCATGGGCGATGACAAGCAATGGCACTCAATAGATCTGAACGCGCAAGGGAAACAGGCAGGAAAAACTTGGAAAGAAGTCAAAATTCTCTTGAGGAGATATCGCTGGCTTATCGACACACTTCTCCTCCTTACGAATATTGGTCTCTCACTAGGGCTGTCATTACTGTTGTACTACCAATTTGAAGACGCCAAGTTCCCGTCGCGAATGACACAGATTGGCGGCGATTACACAGGCGCTGGCCCGCAATGTGAGTTAGCCCCCCAGACTATGCCATGTTCTAGTTCACTATCCTAATTATTTTGACCTGCAGTCCCGATCGAGATCAAGAAATTTGATGCCGACCATGCCGTGGTGCCTCCTAACGCAACTGAATTTCTTTCCGAAGCTACGCTCAACCAATGGCGATCGCTTTTGCCTGGTAACGCCATAGCCGGGACCTCAACTACAATATTGATATTTCACTAACACCGTTGTAGCTGGTGCCGGTTGGAAATCGGAGGACGACGGTCCTTTCTTCACCACTACCATGACCCATCAATTGCATTGCATCGTACGCTTCAACTGTCCTGATTCCTGTTTCTACTGACTTCTTGTAGTTCATGATGGGACGCATCTACTCCGGGATAGTCGCCAATAAGACTGATATGTCTAGAACCGAGGCTGATATCCATTTCTATCACTGCATTGACTATCTGAGACAAGCAGCCATGTGCTCAGCGGATCTGGCGCTTGAACCACATTTGATTACGGACGCGGACGATAATGGGCCTGGAGATGGCAGTTGGAACGGCATGCATGGTAGGCAACTTCTCCCCTTTCGACAAACTGTAGACAATTCCAAGCCAAGGGGTGTCAAACTCAAAGAGCGAGAACTAATTCGGACGTACTCCCAGTCTGCAAGAACCACAATCAAGTGATCAAATACGTAGATCGTAAGTTAGAACAATGAACAACTCCAGATTGACAATAATTTAACACCAAGTCACAGGACAAATCAAGGAAGGCGTTCGTGTGGTTCTGCCGATAGATGACTGAGCACTAGATTTTATAATGATTTTTGAGTTGCAGCGTCTTTATAGCATTGAGAATAGAATATAACAGTCATACATCTCTTCGGACTCTTAACGAATTAATCGTACGCAGCACCGTCGGCCCGCATAGTCGCCTCCTTTACGGAAGAGATTGTGCAGTAGGAGATATTCACCCATGGAATGGATTCTAGGTAACCCAAACTCATGTTGGTTGGCGCCAAGACCCACGCCGCAAGCCTGTACCCACGTTCTTACCTAAGAGTCTCTTCTGCGCAAGACATAATTGGATTGCGCCGCACGCAACAGCTGACTTGAGTCCAGTCAGTGCAACCGCACACATTGGCGCCAGCGGATCGCGAGCAGGACTAACAAATAAGTTTGAGTTCTGTAATTGGGAAGTGTCTTTCATGGATGGCTGTCAATTTTCCATAGCGTCAATGCCTGTGGACGGAGCTACTCACATGCCTGCTTTCGACTTTGCTTGCCAGTTAAAGTTTTGGCCATAGCCTGATTTGCCTGGGACTAAAAACCTCTGGCTCTGGAAGTCAGGCAGCCGGACAACACGTCGAGTTTCTTCCGCATCTCCGCTCTGTCATTCTCCAACCTACGCTCCATTCGTCTCGTCCGAATGAGCAACTAGGCAAGCTGGCGATTGTTGCATGCTTTGAGAGACTTGCGATCTTCATGCATCTACTAGGTCTTGTCTCATTTTGCCTTCTCCTCACTGCCCACGGAACACGCTCCAAAAACTGTTTCCGAAGACCGCCTGGTCCTGGTCCCTCAAGTGACTTCCGAGACAACCCCATGTAAACCGTTGGGAACCCAACTTGGTTCTACACTTGGAAACGGACTTTACGGCAGTCGAATTACTCCTTTTGCATGAAGCGACGTATCCGACAAGTGAAGCAACGCATGCTTCAATTATCTATAGATCAACCCCATCGCGAGGGATTCTTTGGATGAGAACTCAACAACGCAGCAAACACGCGAGCGCTGGGCATGCTCTGGACGGTCAGCTTTAAAGGCTTTCCTTCGCACCAAGATCCGACTTTGAGCCCAGTGTACTTTATTCAGATGTTCAACCACAATCCCTCTGTGGGAGACATTACTTGCCATTACTTCAACAATACTAACTCCGTAGCATCCACCTCGACGACAACATCCACATCCCCTACTTCGACAGCGTCAACTTTGACGGAAGTTTTTACACTGGTTGAAGCATCCCAAACCGCGTCACCTAGTTCCAGCGGAATGAGTAACGGCGCATCTACCGGTGTAGTCGCTGGCATTGCAGTGGGCGCCGTTGTGGGAACACTGGCCACCATAGGCCTAGTGGGCTGGGCTATCTGGAGGCACTTGCGGAAGAAGGAGAAGGAGCAGGGTCATAGGAGCAGGGTTACCGGGGCAAGCGACGTGGGGAATTTTTCTGCTGTTCAAGGAATCGGGCCCTCTCCTCCTGTTCGTTGGAAGCACGAGCTTTCTATGGACGCTCAGCAACCTCATTATGAAGCTGATGGGACAGAAGGTGTGAGGTATGAAATGGCCAGCCAATCAGTCACGACAAATAACGAGAACAAAGGTTTGAGGGTGAAAAGCGACGGAATGTCGAGGTAGCCGTGAGCACCATATGTATGAGTCGGAGGTATATTGGTTACGTGAAAGCTATCGAGAGAAAAGCTCAACATCAAATAGATGAGGTACTCCGTGACCACAAGATAAAACAATACTGGCCTTGATATCAGGCTCAGGAATGCCGTCAGTCTGTGGTATTTGGAGAATCACCCTTCCTAGGGATATTGGAAATCATTATGTAATTCCTTACTTACTTGAAGCGTGAAACTAAGCTCCGGAAGCCATCTCTCTATGTTGACATAGGTGGAAACCTAGAGGTCTAGCTCTTCATATGGAATCTTTAATGCGGAAGCCGTTGTTCTGGCACTGATCAAATGGTTCGGAACACGTGTTTGTAGGTGCTTGGTTCACATCAAAACTCCTTTGACAACCACTTAAACTACTCATGCTTTAGTTGCATCCTAATTATCCTCGCCGATGATCTCTGAAGCCGGCTTAAGTACCTGATGCTGAATAACTGACGGGGGCCTCAGCTCACCGTATCGGTTCAATGTTGGAAGTAACAGCCTTCTCGCGCCATCGCAAGAATTGTTGGAAGAGGACGCCTCGAAATTGCCCCTGTAGAGATACTTATTGTCTCCCATAACTTAACACACTTTTTTGGGATAAAGAAACTCTACTAAGGCATGCGAGTGTGTCGTCTCTCGAGATGCTACGGCTCACTCGTATTATGGACACAGGAGGTCTCAGATAGACGATGGTGTGGAAAGAAGTGTAGGTTACCAGTTCTTAGGGTTCAAGAAAAGCTACACCTAGCAGTGCACATGAAATCACTAACAACGATGCCGCTAGCGTGGCAGCCAGGCCAGATATTTACTGTAGCCATGCTTTCACCAAGTTGCTAAGCCCACTCGCCATCCATTCTTCATCAATCTTCGTCATAGCATCAAAACCATGCTCGCCAGGCTGGACCGCCAAATTGAACTCCAACTCAGGGTCAACCTCCCTAACCAACTCTTTCAACGCGATGTTCCCCTTCGCTGGCACAACACTATCATCAGCACCCTGCCACACGAAGACACCACCACGCGGGAGCTTCTGCCCAGCCCTCAACCTCTCAAACGGAAACAGCAGCTTCCTCTCGAGCGGGAACATCTTAGGGAAACCGCCGTGTTGAAGATTGGCGAACATGAGGAGGCCCCTCTCGAGATTTCGGTCGTTGGAGATGAGTGCAGGTGCCTCACCAGTGCGAATCTTTTCAAAATGGTCATCGATGATGCTCTGAGGCAGGGCTAGTCCGAAGACCGGAGCCGTCGGCCTCTCCATGAAGTGAGCGTCGGCAAGGTCGATGCAAGGGTAGGCGGCTGTCACAGCCCGGATTTCCTTGGCATGAGACAAGCCTGTCATGATGCTCAGGTAGCCTCCCGCACTGTCACCAGCCGTAAGGATCCGATCGGTATCGACATCAACGCGGCCTCCAGTCTCCTCCTTGAGAAAAGAGGCCAGCTCCTTATGAACCCAAGCCCAGTGATCCTCTACATCTTCGAGGAGATCGTCGATAGTGGACTCTGGCGCGAGACGATAGTTTGGGCTCACAATCACAGCTGAATGGCGTGCCGCGAGTTCCATGTGCCAAGGCGCGAAGAATCCGGGATAGAGACTCGCGCCGCCGATGAAGCCGCCGCCATGGTAGCGTAGTATGATGGGGCATGACGAGGTCACCGGGCTTGGGGCCTCTGTCAGCTTCTTCGGGATGAGGACATCGGTGGTAATGGAGTGGTCTGAAACTGTCTTGTAAATCGTTGTCAAGATGGTAAAGTCTGAGAAACGAGACATGTCGTCTGGATGCGGCAGGAGATCCATTTTGGCTTGTGGAAGGTGGATTCGGGCCAAGTGGCTTTGTGATAAACGGCGCTAGTTGTTTGAAAAGATGAAAGGGCTTAGCTTCATTGAAGTATTCCGAATTCGCAGGATTTTCAGAGGAGAGCGTGTTCCTGCAATACCAGTTGAGCTCAATATGGGTCTCCCGGGTGCTTTCTGTCCCCGACAGACAAGTTGACCGGCCGATACTTATTAAGAAATCTCCACACTACTATATATTCTCAAACATCCCAACCCCGCGAATAGCATTGACTAGTGGCCTTCGGATGTCGAACATGACATTTGGAGCTCCGTGCTTCGGAATCCGGTCTTTTGAGTTTCGGGAACTAGCAGTCATAGTCTCAACTTGGGCCAAGCTGCGCGAGTCTTGAGTCCGCGCCAGTGGTGGGTGAGAGTTGAGGGCTAAGACGTCTGTTAAATCCGACCCTCGGGCGGCAATTACCCACGGCATGTGTCCGAATTGAACAAGGGCCTTCCAAAATGGGTGATCAGGGGCGTCAAATTTAGGCCTCAGACGATCGCATTGATGGCCCATTTGACGTCAATCTCATGAAGCTTGTTGGGCAGAAGGCCATCTTTGATCGCCACAGACAAGCCTGCGTCATCACTCTGGAGGTTGGCGAATTCATCGCACCTTGAATACTGGTAACTGCCAGTGGCTTTTTTGAACATTAACCTAAATGTAACCGAACAAGACACTGAGCTCTCTCCTCCTTTCAGGTCAAGGTCCTTCAGGTTTGCATTCATCACTTGAATCCATAACTTTAAGCTAGCAACGAAGGTAGCCTCCCAGCCACAAAAAGTATCATCGTTTCAGATGTACTGATGGATATTCTCTTAGATAATCCATTATTTGCGAGTATTCAATAGAAGTTCAGAGCGAACGCATAGGAGATACACCAATTCATTGCAAAAGGCGTCTATAAGGCAATCCACCATACATACCAAAAAGACGAACCATAGCTAAAGTGAGCAGCATAGGCCTGTTGCTCATCAATATTGGTATCATTGATTTCTCTCTATCCAAGACCAAAGGGAGAAAGAAGCTTGATACAAAGAGGGAAAACACACGAAAACTTATATTCACCAGCTAAGCAACAACCGCAAAACATGGCCCGCATCTTTGTTAGCCCTTCTTTTGATATGATATGGAGAATAATATGTACTGGATTTCTCGACACAAATGCAGAAGTCCTAACCTTCAAAGGAGCAAGTTGGGAGCAAGTTAGCAGAAGCCTAGACTAGATGAAGAGGCTGCTTCAGAAGAAAGGGAGGATCACGTTACGCCGGGAGGGGTTTGTATGGACTTAAAAGTTGCATAGACCGCTATGAAATAGGGAATAGGTCGAATACTCGTGGCGTCGAACTTGCTGTGCAGTTCACGATTTCGGCAGTTCTAGAAGCTATTCTTTTAGGTTAGGTATCTCGACGAAAATTATGATCAACCTTCTTTACCTTCGTGGCAAGCGCTAGAAAGATCTCGACTGTCGTTTTTATGAGCTTAGCATTTGCGATAGCTCTTGCGATTTCGAGCATTCTTTTCCCTACCTTAGAGGGTAAAAGAGCCATTTAAAGGTTAGTGATGTGAAATATGTTATGCTGGAAAACTTCAGAGAAACAGATACTCGATCGTTGTTTTTGGAATACGGCTAAGTAGCGTTGCGAAATAGGTTTGCAAGACTTGCAGGTTGGTTCTTGCTACTATCGATGATCAATTTGTTCCTATGGCTATTTACTAAAGTCCTTTTAAAGGCTGTATGTAGTAAATTATCGATTTTCTTCGTTGAGCGCTACCCCTCGTCCGCGGTTTCACGCCCAAGCCTTCTCGGGTGTTTCATGTTGCTACTAAGTCATTGCTTGCTGTCCTTTTTGTAAGGTTGCCTACCCAAGAGATCTTGACGTCTGGCTGGGCGCAGGGCAGGCTGGGTGGAGTAGTTGCAAGTGATGTCGGGGCTTACTTCCGGGAACTCTGCAGTTACCCCCATGGACGGCGGCCCCGATTGCCCTTAGTAGACCAGCAGATGGAACGTCTGTTGATATCGTACTTAGCGAGATCACCACTCATCCCATTGAACAACCGCAGATTTTCGGCGTTGCAAAGCCTGCTACGAGCATGATAGAATTAAGTGGCCCGGCGGCAATGGTCAGCGAAGTCCTATTTCGTCGCTTGAAGAGCCTGGGTAAAGTACTTTGCGGGAGGTCAACTTCTGCCTTCCTGAGACAAAGAGTCCACAAAGAGACTCAGCCGAGAGAGCAGCAATGATAGTGATGAGTAGGGGCCACAGAACGGCGTATCGCACAGTCGCATCACTGGCCAGAGCCTGTGTCATGTCATTGAACCCACATTGTACACGATTTATTGTAACATCAGCCGCCATTGATGGCAGTCATCTAGCCTAATCCTCAAAGTCTTGGCCGCTCTAAGCAATCCAACCATTGTTGGTTTGCTCGTGCGTACTTTTCTACAAAAAAACATATGGCCACCAACTGAACTAGTAGAGCCAGCATCTCAAAAGGCTTCACTCTGTTCTGTGCTGGTGGCGATCTCTATCAATGCGTCTAGAGGCGGGGATCCCAGCCTCGAGTTTGCTCGTAGCCGTGGCAAAGAAGCGATCCATCAGTTGGTGGGCAATTGCGGGAGTTTCGGTGACAGAGTTGTTGTTCAGATGAGAGACTCCGTCCATGAAGGAGCCCGACGAGACTCTGCTGCTTGTTGGAGTGATTGCGTCACTTCCCTCGCTGCGAGACACTGTGCTGGAAGACGTGCTCCTCTAGTCCACGTTACGTTCAGCAGTCGGGGCACCGCCACGCCAGAGGCCGTAGAATCCGTCGCAATTCTTCCACATCTTGATCGTACCGTCCTCGGAGCCAGTTCCGTACAGTTTGCCGTCGGGGGAGAAGGCAATGGACCAGATGGGGCCATGGTGCCCCTTCAGAGTTTCTGACAGCGTGTTAGTGGGTATCCTGCTTCCGAGTTTCTATCCCCAACTCACCAATGTCGCCAGCGTCGTCCCAGCGGCAGACGCGTGCCCAGGTACCCGGCTCTTCGCCCATGATAATCTTGCGACCCTTGAGGTCCAAACCGACGCTTGCAACGCCATGCTTCAGTTCCAAGCGCTTGAGCTCGTCCATCGCTTGCGGGCCTCCCCAGAAGTATACCCATTTGCCAGCGGCCACAGCCAAGACAGGAAGACCGCCTCCAATATCGCCGGGAGAAGTGTGCTCGGGCGCCAAGGAGACAAGCTCGCAGGACTTAATTTCGCCGTCGAGGACCTCCTGACGAATGACGTTGCGGGTGGGCAGGTCGAACCACCTGAGGGTATTGTCGGACGCAGTGACGATCGTGTTAGGATCCTTGGTCCAAGCAATGAACTTGATGGAGCCGGTATGAGTGCCTTCGCCAATTTCAAAGCCAGCTGAGGCAGGCACGGTGATGGGCGTACCGGCGGGAGAGTTGGGGTCGGGGGCGAAATCGCTGAGGTCAAAGACTCGAAGCTTCTTCTCCATGCCTCCTGTGGCGATGAGCTCAGAGTTGTCAGGCGGGTAAGCGACGGCGCGGACAATGTGGTTGTGCTGAAGGGTGTAGAGGACCTCTCCACTGTGAGTGTCCCAGACCTTGCTGCTGGCCATCAGTCACGATTCGGGGTATGAGTGACGTGTGATAGGACCTACGCGGTGAAGTCGGCAGAGGCGGTTGCGGCGTTGGAGGCATCAGGACTCAATCTGGCCTGCCAGACAGCACCCTTGTGGCCAATGAAGGTTCCGATCCTGTATGAACTCTCGTCAGCCACGCGCGGTCAACTGGTCTGGAAGGAGGAAGCTACCAATCCCCAGTAACACCATCGCGCAACATTGGATTACCATCTGCGACAGGGTTAGCGAACCCCTGGTGGCAGCGCAGGATCATCTATCCCCAGCTTACCCTTGCAAGCCGAGATCATGTAGTATTGCTCTCCTTTTTCAAGGCCAGAGAAGCAGACGTGAGGGACAGGTCGAGAGTGACCATGGCAGGTCAGAGGAACATATTGACGCGAGGTCTCGGCAGCGGGAGGGGCAGCGGGAGGGGCAGCGGCAGCCATATCGTCGTTGATGTGAGGGATTCGAGGTACTAGGTGCTTGTTTGTGTTCGTGAGAGTCGCAATTGCAACGTTTGCGCTGTGGAGGGGTATCAAGTTGTCGACAAGTTGGATGGTTTTTTTCTCTTCGGCGATTGACAGTTGCAGGATATGAGGAAAAACGAAGTCAAGGAGAGTCAGTCAGGTACAGCCGTTACGTCGTAAATATCGTGAGGAGTAGGTACGATGGATCGCGTGAGGGCAAGCAGCGCAGTGACGGCAACAGTAGCAATAGCTCCAGGAAAAGAGCGAAAGCACGTCAAGGGAAAGAAAAAAAAGGAGGATGGGGAAAGCTGCAGGAGGATGCGAGAAGCAATGGGAGAGCGGCGCGGGTGAAATAATAGTGGGGTATTCCCCGAGTCGGAGCAAGGCCGATTTGCACCTGGATTCTGTCGGGTACGATTGTTTGGTGGAAGCCGCTGCAAGAGCAGGTGCGAAATGTGAGAGTGTACCTGATGGAAGCCAGTTCCGCGAAAGGAGGTACAAAGGTGCACCTTGTCCCTTGTTCGGAAGGAGCCAAGGAGATTCGATGGACCCCTGAAACCAGGCCGGTCCTGCCACGAGCAGCCAGAAATTCAGAGTGACCCCGCGCTGCTCCGTGCATGTCGCGGATTCTATTCCTACCTACTTACTACCTACCTAAGAAGAGGGGAGCTGCTGAGGTAAGCTTCTTTGCCGTGTGGCTTGCAGGCAACCTTACCTGTCAGAAGCCATATGCTTTGCTTGCAGCCCCCGCAGATGTGGCTGACTCCCCAGGGACAGCCTGCCCGCAGCGGGTATCCGTGAGATACGTAGGTACTGTGGCGTATTGGAGCTTCAGCGTTCCCGCTTCCGTCATCATCGTCTAGCTACCTTACCTACATAACCTAAGGCAAGGAAGGTACCACCCACCACCACGAATCAAGACACGAGCGAGCTTTCCACCTAAAGAGTCACACCTGGACTCTTTTTGAAACCTACCTACTTTTCCCGACCTCCATCACAGATTGCCAGCAATGACGACAGACTTCAAGCTATCCGCCCAGCTGTCCGGCCACGACTCGGACGTAAGTAAACGAACCTTCAACGCTCTATTCGTCAGCTAATGCGCACGCAATCCACAGGTCAAGGCAGTCAGCTTTCCTTCTCCTCAAACCCTACTTACTGCCTCTCGAGATGGCAGTGTACGAGTCTGGCGTCAAACGTCTGGGTCCCCCCCGACTTTCGAACCCACAATCTCAAGTCAAACGTCCGAATTCGTCAACGCTGTCACATACTTTCAACCTTCTGAGGCATACACGGATGGACTGATTGCCTCCGGTGGTAAGGATACCATCGTTGAAGTCAAACAACCCCAAGCTGCGCCGAGCGACAACGCCGAGAGACTTTTGATAGGTCACTCCCAAAACGTATGCACTCTGGATGTGTCGCCCAAGGGATCCTATCTTGTATCGGGCGGATGGGATGCTCAGGCCATCGTCTGGAACATCAACACCTGGGAACCTGAGTATCGTCTCAGCGGTCATGATAAGAGTGTGTGGGCTGTCCTTGCTCTTGACGAGGACACGGTGGTCACGGGATGCGCCGATACGAGCATCCGCATTTACAAGCTTTCCTCCGCCATTGCCGGGGACGCCGAACCACAGTCAACTATCCACACACCTGAAGTCATTCGTGCTCTCGCAAAGGTTCCCAAGAGCCATTCGAGCGGAGCTGATATTGCAAGTGCCAGCAACGATGGCATCATCCGGCTTTGGAAGCTGAATGGTCAGCAAGTTGGGGAGCTAATCGGCCACGAGAACTTCATCTATGCTTTGACAAGTCTACCTTCGGGTGAGTTAGTCAGCTCTGGAGAGGATCGCACTGTGCGAATATGGAAGGGAAACGAATGCGTTCAGACCATCACACATCCTGCCATCTCGGTCTGGGCTGTTGCTGCGAACCAGGAATCTGGCGACATCATCACAGGAGCCAGTGATGGCGTTGCGCGTGTATTCACGCGCAGCTCTGAGCGGGCAGCCAGTGCCGATACCATCTCCGCGTTCGAGGAGTCGGTGAAGGCTTCGGCAATTCCTCAGCAACAATTACCAGATATCAACAAGGAGAAGCTACCTGGCCCGGAGTTCCTTCAATCTAGGTCGGGTACCAAGGAGGGTCAGGTGCAGATGATCAACGAGGGAAATGGACTGATCACTGCCCACCAATGGTCCCAAAGTGAGTTTGACCTTAGGCACTACTCTCTCCGATACACGGCTAACGGCGTATAGGTCAACAACAATGGATCAGCATTGGCACCGTAGTTGACTCCGCTGGAAGTAGCGGGAAGAAGACAGAACACAATGGCAAGTCTTATGACTACGTTTTTGACGTTGATATTGAGGACGGAAAGCCACCCTTGAAGCTGCCTTACAACCTATCGCAAAACCCTTACGACGCCGCGACAAAGTTTCTCAATGACAACGAGCTGCCCCTGAGCTACCTGGACAACGTGGCTGGCTTCATCACCCAGAACACCCAAGGTGCCACTCTAGGCCAGTCAGCACCCTCAGGTGGCGCTGATCCTTACGGCACGGAGTCGAGATATCGCCCTGGCGAGTCTGAACCTTCGGCTCCTAAGCTCCTGCCGCACACAGAGTACCTCTTCATCACTGCCGGCAAATACGATGCCATGATTAACAAAATTCTCACAATCAACGCGAACATGATTTCGTCTGGTCGCAAGGACTCTGCTCTGAACCCCAACGAACAAAGCATACTCAAGGCCGTCAAGGAGGCCATTGAATCTTCGACGGCCGTTAGCCAACAAGGCATCGATCTTGCCGTCAAGATTGTCACACACTGGCCTTATGCCGAGCGACTCGCTGGTCTGGATCTTTTGAGATGTGTTGCTCCGGCACCTCTCGCTGCCAAACTAGCACTTCCAGGTGCCTCTTTCCTCCAGGTCGCTGCGACCAGCGCTTTGGAGACGACAGACGGTGCCGCGCCCAATGAAAACTCGGCCATGATGGCACTCAGGGCATTTGCCAACATCTTCAGCTCCCCTGAGGGCCGAGCGCTAGCCGCGAAGGAGGCTCCTCTTGCAGCGAGCGTCCTCGAGCGTGTGTTGGGTATTTCTGGTGGCGCTGCGATTGGGCCTTCTAATCGCAATGTCCTAGTTGCTGCGACTACTACTCTAATTAACTATGCCGTGCTCGCCTCCAAGGAAAAGTCCAGGCAGGAGTCGAAACGTCTCATTCAGGCCCTTGGGAAGATACTCTCTACGCAATTGGACTCGGAGGTTATCTACCGAGCGCTTGTGGCTTTGGGAACGTTTGCTGCTACCAACAATGCCGAGGTGAAGAGTCTGGGTGGCGAGGGTTGGATCAAGGGGGCTATCGACCGCGTGTCGGAGCCGCGGGTGAAGCATGTGGGACAAGAAGCTCTCCAACAACTGTGAACGGTGCAGAGTATGATGGGATTCATGTGGGGTAATGAAGCTTGCGTTATGGAGTTTTCGGAAACATGACTTGGGGGACGGCCGTGTGATGGTCATAAGAGTGCGCGCCTGCTTATGCTCCGGCGAAACGGGAGGAAGGGGTGAAACGCCGGGAGGGTTGCGGGTATCATAAAGAGTCAAGTAGTTGGCCATGTTGGACCGCACCGCTTTCCATAGAGCAATGGATGCCTCGGTTACATTTCATGGCGTTCTCCAGTGTGGCTGATTTGGTGTGTCTGGTATAGTTCAGCGTTCGATGTTATGACTACAAATACTCCTAGGGTTGTCGTTCGGCCATTATTGTCGGACAAGGCTGCAAAGGGGATCCAACGAAACATGTGCTGGTCAACATTCCAACATCCATCCACCACATCGAATAGCACCAGTCTGTGAAAGTTTCTGAGTTTGTTTGTAATTGTGCCCGCAGTGAGCGAGCATTGTTGATGGGGTTACTCCAGAAAAGAATGAGTACTTCGGGTAAAAGAGGAAGGAAAAACCACCTTCGGGCCGCAGCCACATTTGAAGCCATTCCCCAATTCCCCCCCCCCCCCCCAAAAAAAAAACGCCGTCTTTAATGCCTCCCAAGAATGTACAATATTTCCCATGGTATAATCCGTCCATTGCGTCCATTCGACCCTCAAAACAACTCATCCGTGAATTTGGGCCATGCCGTCGACTCACATCAAGATCCAAAGCGCACCGAGCAGAAGCGGGAGCCCACCAGCGACGGAGAAGCTTGTTGTTGTTCTTGCGCCAGCGGATGTTCCTTGCACATACTCCGCGCCAGACTCTTTCGTCGTGATGGTGTAGACGTCACCGAAGCCAATGTCGGTGGAGTTGAAGCAGTTTGTCTCGTTGACCTTTCCGATTTTCGGGTCGCCTGGCTCGGCGAATTCAATATCGACGCACTGTTGTTGCGGTATTAGCACCTTTCTGCCACTCTCTCTCCCCCCCTCTCTGTCTGGCTGAGGTAGGGGTTTGGGGAAGACTTACTGAGAATAGAGCGGCGCCGTGCACAGCAAGCTCAACAATCTGGATCGTGGCGTGATCGCCGGCCTTGACGGTGGTGTTTGCCGGGAGAGGCACTTGCGGGAGGCAGACGGTGCCCGGATAAGGGTTCTTGCTTGGGCCGAGGATTTGGAAGACGGGGACCATGGGGAAGGACATATTGAGGGGACCACCGTCGGGCCCGTCGCTGCCGAAGCCCATGTTGGCATACATCATTGCCTGGGCGTGGCCCTGGAACCAGCCTGGTTGGAAGGCAAGGGCACCACCTGTCGTGGGCCAGTAGGTGCGGTTTTGGGTGACGTGCATGCCGCCGCCTTTGGGGATTGATTAGTGAGGCCGAGTCTTTCACTTATAGAGTGAATGAGGATTGAAGTATGGCCTGGGAGAGAGCCATGGCGATAGCGAGGGGAATTGAAAAACGGCCCAGGAGTGAGGACTTACATGGGTAGTTCCATTGCATGCCGTAGGGGAATGTGTCATTGGTAATAAGGTTATTACCGCGCCAGCCCGGGTAGGAGATGACGATGTGGGCTGAAGCTGTCGCCGCGAGGACAAGTGCTGATAGTGTTGAGAAGAGCATCTTGGCGGTTTGTGTGTGTAAGGTGGCCGTCGAAAGTTGGCGATTGTGTTTTTCCAACGACAAACTCTTCCTTTTCTTCACTTGGACTCCGTCTTCTGCAAATTTCCACTTTCTTGTTCCACAACCTTTTTGCCTGGTTGCCTGTCCGACTGAATGGCTTTTTAAGTCCGCCTGGAGATCTTTGAGATGGTCGGATGGTTTGTGTCAGTCTTTGGGGCAAACCTCGCTTGAGACAACAAAAGATTCTCGAAACCAAGCCCAAGCAGACAGCTTTGTTCAAGAACAAGGTTCCTGCGATATCAAAGAGTATTCTTCTCGTGGCACTAGGTCAGTCGAGTAGGAGAGAAAAGAAGGAAGAGGGCGCAAGTGGGAGGCGGCAGGCTGAATGATATTTGGGCGGGGACGGGAGCCCGCATGGGAAGGTACCTACCTACTTTAAGGCCAGGAAGATGGCCCGGCCGACCGATCCAGCCGCCGGACCATGGATGGATATTCATTTGTGCCGTGCCATTGGATTCGCACCTTGCAGCCGTCCAATTGAGCTTGGTCGACCTGGTGTGCGCGTGGATGTGTAAATGCGAATGGGGGCACTCCATCACACCGGGAAAGGGACGGGTGGGCTGGCAGATAGACTGCAGTAGCCAGTAGTGTATGCGTATCCTTCACGCCTTCATCTGCAAGACGATGGGCAATGGCTCCCGTTCCCCTTGCCGGGCTAGCGACGCAGCCAATGGCAGACAGAAGCGCCCAGGCAAGTGAGAGTCGCTGCGGGAGTGGCAGGGGATTGTTCAGTCGAAGGTGGTTGTTTGGGAGGCACGAGGCCAATGAGACGCCGTATCACCCGGGTGGCAGAGGGGATCTCGACGATGAGTGGTGAGAGGGAGAGGCGATGAACAAGGATGCTGCGAGGTGTAAGCGCCGGCTTTACACTACTACATGTACGTTGGCTGCAGGATGCAACCTGGCACCGCTGCCCCAGCAAATCCCCGTCCTTATCTTGTGGCTGTTTGTCGGACCTCTCCACGCTCATATTTAGTCGACGCACAGACCAATAAGACGGTAATCCAACGGTATACTAGGTATTATCTGGTCGACTGACATTGAACAGGACTGACTAGGGTATTGATAATTGTTGATGTTAAGTTTGTGCAACACCCCTCGGTGATGATTCGATCCCGTCGTGTAACATCCGAGTTGAAATGACCGTGATGGCATGGACGCGTCGGCTCTGTCAACCCTGACGAGCGCTTGCTCTTCCTCGCTCTTGTGCTCTATGCCACGTGGTCGGTAAAAGGGTAGAACTTTAGACACAGAGTGTGCCCGTCGTAAAGGACGCCTGACCTCCGTCAATGAAAGCCGAAGGGCGGTAAGCTGACGGCGTGGGTTGCGTCTACCTATTCTGAGATGTCCAGCCGCCTCATAAGGTGATGCAGATCAAGAAAGTCAGCCTCAAAGAAATAATTGACCTGGTTTTTTTTTGGGGGGGGGGGGGGGAAGTCGAAGGAGTACCTACCTAGGTGGGTAATCCCGGGCAGGGTCTCACCTCAGAGACCATCGACATGTTGTGGAGGGGTTTGCAGCTTGCTGCAGCTACCTAGATACGGAGCACAGGTAAGTGCCAATACCTGAAGATAAGGTACCTATTTTGCCATACTTACTTGCCTTAAGGTAGGTCAGTAGGTGAGAGTAGCCTCAGAGACCGACGGAGAGAGGAAATTGTATTGATTTGTTTTAGAGTGTAAATTTTGAGTCGTTGAGTAGGTATCTAGGTCAACCTCGTTCCACCCAAAATTTAGAGGGAACAAAAGATGGACGTTTATGGTAACCTCACATCGTTGCTTCTATTCTTGGCCTTTCCTTCCACCTTGGTACCTCCTGCAATTCTGCCGGGAAGGAGCAACGCTACTGTCAGATTTTAGTAGCTGGAGGCGTGCAACCCTCTCCGCCTTCTATGCTTCCTGTCCTTTCCACCTAGGTAGTGCACCTCTGGGTACCTTAGCTTATGGGCTTACCTCAGGTATCCGCACTGCAGCCTGAATTGTGCACCTTGGTTCTAGGTCTTCCTATTCTCCTGCCTTTCTTACCTTACGTAAGACGATAGGGGCTTAAGCTACGTAGTCTTCACCGCCTGCCAATTGACATCCATGGACCCCGCCCTATCAGCAGGCGGTGGCCACTTTCTGCCGCACAAAAAAGTCCATCCCACCACCATAGCATCTTGCTTCCAAGGCAAAATCATTGACCCCGCGCCGTCGGACTCGCCCATCATGGCCACAGCTGAGCAACCCGAGTCTGACAAACCCAAGTATGACGAATGGATTCAGGTCAAATCGAAGTCCCGGCTCCGGCGAAGCGCCCCCAGGCCACCTGTTAAGGGTCCTGCCGCAATCTCCAAGCCTGCTGAACCCCGCAGCCACAAGTCTGTCATCGAAATTACGGCCGAGTACCACTCCTTCAAGTCCAAGTGGCGCGAAACGACATGTTGCCTCGGTCTAAAGAAGCTGGTGAGGGATAATTGTGAAGGCCATCGAAGAGTCCGCAAGGCGATGTGTCTCGGCGTGGGCACGTTCGATCCAGAGGATGGAGGCTGGGACGCAAAGAGGAGGAGTTATATCCAGCTCGACGCCTTCTTGTCCGTGGTCGAAATTCTATGTATGCCTACGCTTAGCTGTTGCAATCATTTATGCCAAACTGCACTGCAAGGCCTCAGCTAACCGAATCCCCAGCCGATTTGTACAATGAGTCGATACCGTGCTCGTTCCAGGAACCTCGCTTCACTCCCAGCGACATAGCATTCCTTACCGGCCTTGGTCATGAGGTTATCGAGTCCCCCGCTGCTTTCGAGGCCGTGGATGAAGAGGCGCTTGTGTTCGCGATACACATGTATCGGCCAATATACGAGGCGACGCTCGAGAAGGCAGTGCCTGCCATGTTTGTCGGGACAGGATGGGACGTTTGGGATGAGTGCGTAAAGGTACCCCTTCATGGCCGCCCAATGTTTATTGACATTTGACTAGATTCGCCTCAATGAAGGATGGTGAGTTCAAGTGCATGAGTGATATGCATGCCTCGCATAAGCACTTCCGCTTCCCACAGGATGGTACATTCACTACATTCTCAAGCACGTGTGTGTACTGGCGGCCAAAAGCCGAGACCGTGGCTCAACAAGAGACTTCGGTTGGCGAGAAGGACCCTCAAGAAGATATTACGATTGCCGCCCCCGGGACAAGTACCCAGATAGAGGAAAGCCCTCCAGTTCCCCCGAATAGAGAGTAGGGCTTAGAGCCTTGGATACTGACCCTGTCGATAAAGGTGTGAGACTTCAAGTCAAGAATACCCCAAAGAAATCAGCATTACCACTACGGGGCTTTGTGTCACTATACTCATAAGCTTGCTGTGTTTGAATTGAGTATTTACTGGTTGTCCTACTAAGCGCAGGGCATCGAGTAGTCAACAGTCCTTTGCAACAAGAACGATACATGTGTACAAAACAACCGAGCAGGTAGTTCCTAGCGTCCATGGCCAACTCGTTCCTCGCAACATACCGGAAGACTTTAGGTTGACGCCAGACGCAATACGCAAACGCTTTCTCACTTCCACCAAGATCAAGAATACACAGCAAACCCTCCTACACTCACACTGCTAGGAACTTGTCCATCACAGCCCTCCCTCTCTTGGTCGGTCATCACAAATATCACCTCCTTGGCACCAGAGATCTGTTTAAAGCCAACACGGAAGCTCCCCACGTTCAAGATGCGCCCTCTCTCTCACTGGAACGTCACGCGCCAGACAGTCCGGGTCAAAGCCCTTTACCGTGACCTTGGCCACACCCATCACCTTACTCTCCGTAACGTAACCCGGCATAAAGGGCGACGACACCGGCATATCTCCCGACGCAACAACAGGGTAAAGCTCTAGTAGAAAGGACGTCAACAATCTCGCTTTGACCGCATCATTATCGCAACCCAGTGCTTCATTACGGCTGCTATTGAAATGCTCTTGCACAATCCTCCTGACCTGCACGACCAACTCGGCAGGCTTCCCAAAATGATAAAGAAAAAGAAACGGCGTCTGGAAGCCAGGCTCTTTTCCCGGCAGATAGTACCCGCGTCGAAGTCCCGTTCAGGAGTCCCCGGGCCACGAGACCCGAGAATCTGTCCGATATTAGGTCCGGGTTGAAGTCGGCGCGGTACAACAAAGTCCGATTGAAGAGTGTGTCGACGACGGATACCGCTGCTCCAAGGACTGGCGCTGCCACGCCGAGGGTAAAGTTACCCAATGCGTACTCCAACCTGCAGCTTGCCTCACGCATTCCCTGGCCGTGGAGCTGATATTAAGGTAGTCTTGGGCATGACAATGAAGCCCATCTTCTCATGAGTCTTGACCAAGCGGTGCACATCACTGGCTCGACAGTCGGGTAGCTAGCCATCTTGCGGCCAGAGTACCTATAATCTGTGCCAGTTCCCGCGGCGAGGTGAGCGCAATCAGGGGGAACAGAGTGTGAGATGTGTTCCAGATACATTAGAAGCTATCGAATGCGGATGAGGATTGTCTGTTTATTGCAACAGCGCGTTATCCGTGGCGTTGTTCGGTGAAAGAACGTGTATGAGAGACTTCGAAGGAACTCGCTCGTGTCCTTCGAAAGCACCGTACGGCCTAGTCTCTCCTCTCTTACAGACTATTAGTCGCCGCAACGACCTTCTCAAAGATCGGCACCGGTATATTCCGCTTATGCTATTGCAAGCTCGACCAAACGAAACGCACGAGATCCCACGATGGATTAAGACCAGAGACTTTGGCGTGAAACGCACGATGGCCCCGACCCGCGACGGTTGACTGTTATCTGGCCTATTCCAGTGCTCGGCCACAGGCACCATATTCTAGCTATCTAGTTCGGAGCGACTGGCGTCTATTCCGTTGACATTTCTTCTAATAAAATACGCGATCCTTCATGGCTATCGCGATCGCTAAGGCGTCTTACTGGAAAGCCGAGCACTTGAACTGGCTGGGACCAAAACTGCTCCGCCGCGTAACGTTCACAAACTCCCGTTTCTCAGCGTAGTCTGCAGGCATCTCGTCGTCGGTAAAGGAATGTTCCGAGCTGTCTGGTTAGTTCAGCACCAGTGTCGGCGAAGAGTCTTCGGGGAACGTATACCGTCCGGGGGAACGTCGCTTGCGTAAAGGCCAGCTCAGGTCGTACGCCGTTGACGAGCGGCGTGCTAAAGGAGCCAAGAAACTCGTGTCACTGGCGCCCTTTACACGTCGGAGGGACTTCGGCTCCCTGAGCGTATGGCATTCCGCAAAGACCTTGCACACGACGGACATGATGCAGAAATTCCTGTAGCTGCCGGCCGAGCTCCCGAATTCCGGAGTCGTGGAGCAGTAATACGCCCGGGTCAGTTCAGCTTACTTGGATATTCAGCCGGCCAGGGAGTAGCCCGCGACTTGGATGGCAACTTTAGCCATGCCAAAGGTGACTGAGGCTCCGGCGAAGACATCAACAGGGCTGCCGTTGTGTGCTGTGCTTATGAAAATGTTAACGTGCTGCCTTATAGAGCCGAGGATTCCAGAACACGATGCCAATACTGCACACCATCCATTCTCCATCATCTGACCTAGCACTCGAAAATTGTCATCAAATCTGGGATCGGCTTCAGGGCGGAAATATCGGATGATCATGGCAAAAGTCTCCCAGCCAAGTGCCGAAATTGCTTTGGATGATGAGACGTGTATTGTAATGTAGAATAACCTTCTGCGGGCATGCTATGTAACATCCGCTAGCCAACCTGTTCCTTGACCGTCCAGCTTCAAGCTTGCGGGAGATCCTTCATGTTAGGTTCCACTTCACGTTCACTCTGCCCTCCTGACGTGTTGTTCAACTAGTCTCAATAGAACCCTTTCGTTCGTGTTCGTATCCCGCAGCTTCATTGCATATATAACCAAGATTAGGATGCCTCTGACGGCTCGACTTTCTAGGCCTTTCCAACAAGGTTCTCTTGGGCTCCGTGTCCGGAATTATGGGGTTCATGTCTAATAACAATTATACATACTGCCGATCAGCATCGCAAGAGGAACTTAACTTTCGTCTTATGGAATTAAGGGGAGAGCCTTAGGTTTAGATGGATCAACTGCTTGCTCAAGCTATCAAAATTAGTATGCAAAGGAAAGACCAGGTCAAGACGGTAACATACTAGCCGAGCGAGACATACATAAAAGCGGTACGACTGCCTAAAAATCCGAGTTAAATGGGTTAATTGATCTTCCAGACTTGCTGTTGATGGAACCTAATGAGCCTTGCTCTCAGTCATCCACAGTTTTCATGCTGTTGCGCGAAGCGGGGCCGTCCTGAGGGCGGCCCGATCCCGAACTCCCATGAAAAGCTTCACCCGGGCTGGACATCCGCTCAGCTGCAAAGCGCAAGTTTGATGACGGACATGGCCGAAACTGACCGTGCGAAGCTTCAAGAAACCCCCCGAATCATGAGATGGATGCCTTCCCGGAGCACAACCCACCTATGAGTTCTGGGGCTCTGTTGTGGTTCTAGCTTCTGTTCCTTAGCTTATGCGGGGTTCGTAGCTTACTGGATGATTGCTGGGGATCCCAGCCAACATGATCCTTGAACAAGCTGCGGAGGGGGCACAGGGAGCAACTCCCTTTCTTCGGTCGCTGATCGGACGATAATAGCCTTACTCCTGCTGTAGACGCCCACCTCGCAAACCCCTCTCGTCAACGTCTGTCTTAATCCAACAACGACTGATCATCGCCCATCCAGCTCACTGTCATCCTCGGCCGGACATTCGCTTAGTCGAGAGCTTCTCGCATGGCACGAAATCTCTCAAATAGCCGTCTCAAATGGTGACATCGCCCCATGAATACGACCGCGCTACAATCCGTCTCTCAAGGCATAACAGCGACTGCGCCGCTGCCGGAGGGTGTGCCGGGCAAAAAGTCAACGAAGAAACGCGTCAGGAACTTTTCCGCCGATGACCGCGCCGCCCATCGCATTTTTGAAAGGGGTCGTCGCGAAGCCTTCAAGGAACGCTTGATTGTGAGCATTGACGGGCGAGACAAAAGCAGCTGTTAACTTTGTACCCAGACTGATCATCCAATCCACAGGAACTCGCCGGCCAGCTACCAGTCCTTGCAGACACTGATCCCGAGCGGCTGTCGAAGCATGTCGTCGTTAATGAGAGCATTGCCCGGCACAAGCTCCTGGAGAACCGATGCGTTGACGCTCTTCGAGATATTGAGTCCTTGCTACGAGAGCGCGATGAGCTGTTGGCAGAAATCAATGTCTGGAGAGGCAACGCCGGCGCGAGTCCCCAGCTGCCGAAAAGCATGTCTAATATTGCGGGTCTTGTACAGACTGAGGATGAAATGCTGAGTCGCGAAGCAAAAGGCCATCCCATACGCGAAGGAAATGGTTCCAGCGAAGACAAGGGGTCTCGTGGCGGTCAAGCTCAGGCTGCGATGGCAATTGGCACCCTCCCGAGCGAACCATCTAATCTCTCGCAGCTTCTGGAAGTGGATCAGACACACGATATCAATCCAGTCCCAAACCTTGACGACTTATTGCGCGACACGTCATGGTCTCAGACTACCCAAACTCATCTACCAGTGTTCCCCCCCGCACCTCCTCTTACGAGCCCAGACGACATTCCAATCATACTGCCCCCCATCTCACAAGGTCCTCTGCCAGTGGCGACATCAGAAGCAGCCGACTATCGAATGTTCGTCGACGTAAACCCAACACAGCAGGCGCTGCTTGTCAATATGGGCACGATTCAGTTTCCTGCTCCGGACGAGAACTCCATCGAGCTACCAACCGTTCTGCTTAGGTCTGACTATCTTTCTCGAACCAACTTGGATCAAGAACCACTGCTTCAGCACTCTCAGCATTGGGTCTCTTGGCATGGATAGTCTATTCAATGCTCCGGATCCTTATGTACTCTAGCGAACGCCACTTCATGACTATTCGTACCCCGGACATACCAACGATACCGTTCATCTTAGATCTGCTTCAGGAGCTCCTGAATCTTTCCCTGACTGCTCTTCTCGCCTCCGATGAAGAGCTTCAGCGCATCTGATAGCCGAGTCGTCGTAACGAGGTCTGTCTCGATAGCCCTCTGTAGCGCAGCACCACCATCAGCAAGGTAGTCAACGTCAGTGCGGGCCAGCTTTCCGTCCCACTCGGCCGCCGCCAGAGGGTCGATGGTGGCGAGCTTCTTCAGCCGCTCAGGGGTCGGGCCGATGTCCTTGTAGACGTGAGCTGGTTTCGGCACGCCTTCGCCTGGCTGCTTGGCCCCGTCATAGGGAAGCTTGGCCAACTGGTCGAGGACGGTGTGGGATATGGTTGCAGAATGGCATCCCATTTCCCCCGCCGCCATGGCCTCTTTGGCTGAGATGAAGCTAAAGAGAATAGCTTAGCGACGCTTGGAACAATAACAGTTCCTCGTGCGCTTACCTGGCATTCTTGACGAGGGGCTGTTCTTTGCCGGTCTCTTTGTACAGCCGCTTGTATGTCTCAATGATCTGGATGATTCTTGCCGACATAGGATGTTGCGTCGCTGGGTCCTCGACATTCGGCCAGAGGGCATCCGGCTCATCGTGGGCCCGCACCTCTGCGATAGACATCAGTGAGGAACGCTCAACAAAGTAGGCGTGTGGACCCGACCATTGTAATACGGGCTGATGTACAGCATGCCTGCCTGGCTGCAAGCAATAGCTTGAGGCAGGCTGAACAGCGCTGTCCCTAGGGTGGGTATCCCTTCCGATGACAAGATCTTTGCAGCGTTCAAAGCTGGCCCGGTAGATGGTATTTTGATGCAGTATCTATCGCGTCCGATACCGGCCTTGGCAAATTCGCGATCGTAGAGGCGTGCATGATCGAGGGTCTCCTGTGTCTTGTACGCGTTGGACGGGAGAGTTTGCAAGAGGACTCGGCCGCGAATAGAGTTGACGTTTTTCTTGCACATGAGAACGGCCTGGCAATTTGGGGTCAGCTCACTGTATTATGGCACCAGGAATTGGTTCAGTGCAGACCATGCGAGTGTAGATGGCAAGCCACCCTTCATTCTTCAGTTCCTTTGCAGTCTCGAGGAAAAGATCCCTGTTCGATTCATGGCCGAGCTGGATATCAACCCAGAGCTGGTTGCTGGTCTGGTCGTGGGGGACGATGGGCATGCTCTTGATGTACTCAGGATCCATCCAATCGACATCGACGTTTACTATGTTATGTTGATGAGTTCCCAGGCTTCTATGAGGGCGACCTAAGGTAGGCGCAAGTCTTCACTTACTCTGTTCCTCAAGCTTCTCAAGCCATGTAATTGCGCCCTGGCTTCCCATGATTGCGGATCAGAGGTAAATTTTGCGAGATTTCGAGGCAGTAACGTTCTCTTTCTTGGAGTTCTCAGCGATTCGACCTTTACATCTAGTGTTGGAATCCAAGCGAAATCTCCTTTAATAGGAAATAACTCCAGTCAAATGTTTCGACATTGCCAACTCTAGAATGACTGTCTAATGCCCTGCATGTGGCGGCATCTTCGCAGTCGTCACTAGACTTATCGGTGGTCCCATTCCGAACACTGTAGGACCAATCATGCGAACATGCTTCTGGACCCCCAGGATGCCACACGCAGGTCAACGTGAGGCAACACGCAGGGCACTGTTGACCCCGCACCGTGGGGGCCTTTACCCTTGCTCATCGTCTGTTCATATCGGTGATCGGGGTGGGAGGCGGCAGAGAGGATACTCTGGGGTAAATCTACCATAATACGATTGTAGGTACTAGGGACCATTTTTCCGGGTGCTGGCGCCCCCACCTCGTTTTTGAACCTAGTGTAGACGTCGTCAATGGTGTGTCTTCATACTTAATGGAATTGCCCTGAACATGTCTGATCAGACTTTGATGAGCTGCGAAGTTGTAATAGTTTGAGAATACCAGATGACCTCTGAACTCAGTTTGAATACGCTCATTACTACTCTGATACTAACTATCCCCGAGAACCTCGACTCTTCCAATCGGGCGAAAGAACTTTCATTTATCGGGGCTACGCGGCCGCCTCCCCAACAGCCTAGCCTCAAGGTTCCAAGACCAACAACTTTCCATACACATCGCCCTGCACAGGCAAGAGAAACTAGCGCGTCTTAGCATGTTACCCAAACTTTAGAGTTCATGGACACACACAGGGCAGCCCCGCACTTACCCCATCCCAAACAAACACCACCAGGGGATGTCCTGCACAGGGAGGTTTGCTGCAGTGTGTTTTGGTCACGGGAGCAGGCCCGAAGGATCCTCCCAGCCGTTCAAAGGCTGATAAGACCATCACTTCCGGCGTTGGTGATGAGGACCCGGTAATTTATCATCCGACCTCATGGGGAACGATGCGAGAACAGGGGGAAGAGCAACTAGGATGGGATGGATTCATTTGAATCAAGTTATAAAGGAGCCTCCATCGTGATACTTTACTACCATCCCCAGTGTTGACTTACTTCATTCTTCGATTTGGATCAGTCCTTCTTTTTTTTGGGAAAAAAAAAAGTCCAAAGGAGTCAGCCACGATGTCTCGCGTATCCGATGTCGAGGGGGACGTCAAGTCAAAACTTGACGTCAGCCATGTTGAGCACACAGAAGCGGACTATAGCCGCAACATCGATGCAAAGTAAGCCGTCATTCACTCATATATCTTACGTCAATAGCAATTGACCACGGTCAGTAGAATCCGTAATCCACTCATCGGAGTCTCCAATTCAGATCTCCGAGTCCAAGTGTCTGGATTCTGCCGCGAGTATGGCTTCCACGAACAAGAAGATGTCTTTTATCGCGGCGCGATCGCAGCCCAGAATCCGGAGACGTACGATTCGTTCGAAGAACTCACTGAGGACGACAAAAATGTGCTCCGCCGGGAGGTCACCCACAAATGGCATCTTCCACGGGACCTCTACTGGAGCATCGCCCTCTGCTCACTCGGCTCTGCCATTCAGGGATGGGACAATACAGGTGCCAACGGCGCCAACCTCTCTTTCCCTCAAGAGTTCGACATCGTGGACAGGCAGGCATTAGTTGGTGTCATTAACGCCGGCCCGACATTGTTCGGTCTCTTGAGCGCATGGGCTGCCGATCCAATCAACGACTATTTAGGCCGTCGCGGAACGATCTTCCTGACCGGCCTGTTTTGTGTGTTTCCCGTTCTTGCCCAGGCTTTCACGCAGAACTGGTGGGGCCTCTTGATTTGCCGTCTGTTCATGGGCCTAGGAATGGGAGTCAAGATTTCAACAATTCCGGTATACTCGGCCGAGGTTGCGCCTGCTGCCATTCGCGGCGGAATCGTCACGAGCTTCCAGCTGTGGGTCGCGTTTGGTATCTTCGTCGGCTTCTGCTCCAACTTGATATGGTTTCGCATCGGCGATTTAGCATGGAGATTCCAGTTGGGTGCCGCGTTTGTACCTGCTATTCCGGTTCTTATCTTTGTTTGGTTCTGCCCTGGTACGTATCGTGATCTCCAATTCTTTGCCCGAAATGTCTGACCAGAGATGCAGAATCTCCTCGTTGGTTGATGAAGAAAGGCCGCTACCAAGAGTCCTTCAAATCCTTCTGTCGCCTTCGAAATACCGAAATGATGGCTGCCAGAGACCTGTACTACGCCCATAGACAAGTCATTGAAGAGAAGGACGCGTTCGGTGGCCAGACGCTTTTACGACGAATGACCGACCTGCTTGTCATTCCCCGTCTCCGCCGTGCAACCATCGCCTCATCTTGGATAGTAATTTCGCAACAGTTCAGCGGAATCAACATCATGGCCTTTTACTCTTCGACCATCTTTGAGCAAGCTGGCTATTCCGCTCAACAATGTCTCCTCGCCTCCATGGGGTTCGGCCTCGTTATGTTCGTCTTTGCCTTCCCGGCGGTGTACATGATGGATACTTTCGGTCGAAGGAATCTCCTCCTAATCACCTTTCCAAACATGGCTTGGTGTCTGTTGGCCTCGGGCCTTTGCTTTCTTATCAATCAGGGCTCAAGTGCAAGAGTACCACTCATTGCATTCTTCATCTATCTATTCACTGCGATGTACGGGCCAGGTCAGTGAAAATAGCAGATTCCCATTCCAACCCCCCCCCCCCCAAAAAAAAAACAACAACAACAACGAATAGCTAAAACACGAACAGGCATGGGCCCCCTCCCATCCATTTACTTTTCAGAAGCTTTCCCTTTGTCCCATCGGGAGATCGGCTCAGCATTTACGATCTGCGTCAACAACGCGGTTGGCAGTGTTCTCACGTTAACCTTCCCCGGACTTTTGCACAAGATTGGGCCGACTGGGGCATTTTGCTTCTATGCCGGTCTTAACTTGCTCGCTTTCATCGTCATCTTCTTCCTCATTCCTGAGACCAAGCAAGTCACTCTCCACACCGCTCAGAAAGCCAAATGCAACTGCTGACTCGTAGTACCAGACAACGGACACTCGAAGAGCTAGACTACATCTTTGGAGTTCCCACACATCGCCATGCTGCCTATCAGGTCCGTACATGGCTACCATGGTTTGTGAGGAGATACGTTCTTTTCCAGAGAAACGCTAAGCTCGAACCACTCTACCATCTCGAGTGAGGAAAGACATCGAGGGCTGTTGCAATGGATGGAGGAATTCCGTAGAGAGGTAGCCTAATTACATGATCTGTAGCATTGCGAACGAATAATACATAACTCCAAGGAGATTATTCTCCTCAGAAATATTGATCACGAAGCTCCCAAGGTCTTTTGATGAGGTACCTTCCCATGTCGGTTCAAGATTGAACAGTTTGCCAAGATCTCAGTCTTAGCAAGGTGGCTGCTTCTATGCATGATTGTTTGAATGTGAGGACACAGGCTTTTACCTAGTGTAGTGTACTCAATATTTGGGATACATATGCTAGGCAAGACTCGGATCATGATGCCTCCCCGAGGACCAGATATGCCCGCTTGTATAGGCTCGGCGGGCTTCCGAGTGACTGTAAAGTTTCCCTTTCCCCATGTTTTGTTGACCTTTTGGACTCGAGAGGCATAAACCGTCTCAATAACTTTGCGCTTCTCAACGTTGGCGTTATGAACCTGCTGCCTATCTCTCTGTTTCTTGACATTCGAATCGCAGCCATATGCATTCCTTTGGGCGGAAGAAACCCTTTACGTCCCAGTGTCGAATTCGAGGTTTGATCTAGGAATAAGCTGGCGAGAACATCTTGAGTAATAGGGTTGTGACGAGGCGGAGGCGATACATTCGCAGTGCTTTCGGTCTGGGGGCCGACGCTTAGAGATAGAATGAGTGTATACGCTTCCTTCGTAGAAGTGTCGGGCTCATATCGCATGGGCACGGCCATAGTTGGCGACACCGCTGTGAGAACGAGTAACACCCGGGCATGAACCATTTTGAAGTGGGGAGATTTGGGATCGTTTGCAGCATGCAGCCTAGCAGTGATGAGTTGACACATGGCCCAGAGCCATGAATGTAGCCGTCAAACCCTGTACATGCTGACAGGCTTTTCCTCTTTCATTTACCGCCCGACGTACGAGTAGTTTAGTTGAACTGGATGAGAGTTGATGTCTGAGTCTTACCTTGCCAGCACATCATGCGAAAAGATGCCGGAGGTAGGAAAACTGGGAAGAGGGGTTCGTTACGAAAGACTTAGTTCCTGATGTGGGATTAACCTATTTTGATCCTGTGCCAACACCCCCTACACTCTGGATCTTACCAAAATTATAAGCGGAGGCGTCCTAGCTCTGAGTACTTTTCGCTTTCCTCGAAGACGATTTGTTCTTGCTGTATTCCCACATTTTCCTATCTCCCCGACTGTCTTCAGCTCGTGTCAACAGGCGCCTTGATAATCCTCTTGATTGCAGTGCGGTGTTACTTATCTTCAATGTCTTGTACCGCTGTTGAGGATCTCTGAAGCACGGTGCTGAAATTTGTACCAAAGGTAATGACGAAAGCAAGCTTATGATCATACTTGCCGTTCTATAACCACTAAAACGACAAAATTCCAAATTGTCTGGATTACGATTGAGCCCACGACTAAGAGAAAGATATCAATTCACCACCATTCTCTCAGTTGCAGGGACTTGATACTACATATCTTCGTCATGTAATAGACCATGCAAGGAATGAAGGACAGACAACTTTACACTCGAGGCCTTCGCTATCCGCTATGCTAGGATAGCTTTATAGAGTGTTCGTTGCTGCGGGTGTCACGTGTTGAGCACACAGTCTCTATTCACCATCTTGAACGGCTTCGGAAAAGAAGCTGGGCCAGAAGAAATCTACTCTAGTATCTTAAATCACAAGAGGTTCTTTCCGAGTAAGGAATTCCCTCATTTCCCAAATTCATTCAGGTCCTTAGGTCCATGCTGTAGATGTTCATTGGCTGAGTCGACCATGTCCAGCTGATGGTAGAATACGCAAGCAGAGTAAGAATGCATGGACCCAGTGTCACGAGGCTCCAGAAAGACCAGCTTCGTTTGTTTGTGGTTTCGCGGTGGCGGATAATGGCCTTCTCATATCTTGCTGGGATTGGAATGTCGTCAATGGTTGGCCCTGTCTCAGTGTTCTTTATGACCAGACTCCAGATTAAGCTTTGGCCAAATCTTGGAAAGAAGTAATCCACAAAAAGACGAGAGAAGAAGGTCTCTTTGATAGATGCTGCTGTGGTTCGGCATCCCTGATTGACGGCATCCTCAACACGGCTGAAGCGTTTGGCCTGAACTTCCGCAAAAACAGACTCGATGTCGTCTTCATTAAGATTTTCTTTAGACGTTTGATTGGCCATCCTCCGTCTGAGTGTGTTCACAAGAACAGCGGCAGTCTCCATGGCGCCATTGCCGCCTTGAGCACTGATGGGATGGACCTACGATGATGGAGTTGTTTAGTTCTTGTTGCACTAGAAGGAGTCCGACTCTCGCTTACTTTATGAGCGGCGTCGCCGATCGTAATGATTCTCCGAAAATGCCATTGGGGAAAGACATGATCCTCCAGGGCCACCAGAGTCGAGTGCAGTCTGTGGGCGTATATCTCACCGAATGTAGTTGTCTCTGTAACCTGATCATCAAAGTGATTCTCTGCTAGAGCGCGCTCGTCTTCCTTTGTAAACTTGGGAATGGATTTGCCACATGTCCTGTCCAACGATGTGAACAAAAACCAGTACAGACGGCTGTCGGGGGCAGATAACATCATGTAGTTACAGCTCTTGAAGAACGAGTTGACTTGAATTGCATTGCCGGTCAATCCCGCAGGTCGTTTCGATATTCCAAAGATGCATTTTGATTCCGACTGCAGACCTGTGTATAAGTCAGAAACAGCGAAATAGTGCCTTAAAGAGTCAGAAGGACAAACCGTCAATCGCATCTGCTTTGAACAGACCAGAACGGGACTCTTGCGAAAGACGCCACATCTCACTTCTAATCGCGCTGTGGACGCCATCAGCTCCGACAACGATGTCCCCAGAGTAGACGGCGCCATCTTGTGTATGAACAGTGACGTGTTCACCCGACAGATCCACAGTTACAACCATTTTGTTGGTCAAAACTCGGTCCTTGAACATGAGCTTATCAAAAAGAACATGTAGAAGGGTTTTGCGGTCGATGAATATCTGAGGGTAGCCAAGTCTAAACAGAACAGGAGCCATTAGTTCTTAGTCTTGAGAGACCTATGAGTTAAGTTCAATAACCAGTTGGCGTACCTATCTTCAAGCTGTTGTGAGAAAGAGACAGGCTGCGTATCAGTCCAAGTCTTTCCGCTGAACAAGCGCATACTGGTGCGGTAGTAGACATCTCCGGCGGCCTTCCTAATTTTCTCGTAACAGCCCAATTGGTCCAGAATGCGCAGACCGCTGGGAAGAAGACCGATGCTAGCTCCAAGTTGAGGCGCGATTATGCTATGCCGCTCCAGAAGAATATATTCGATATCGAATCGTTCGAGCATGTTGGCAAGCGACAGCCCGGATATGCTGCCGCCGACAATAATTATCTTAAGTCCCATATTGACTGTTCTGCAGCAGACAATGCAGTTGAAAGATTCTCATGGTTCGAATAGTCAGTTATTGTTTTCATCGTGGGAGGAATGTGGACTATAAGAGAAGTCAGAGGAATTTTCAAGCACTACCAGACACCTCACAGGACGAACCATAGAAAAAATGATCCACAAATCTTCAGTTTGCGGCGAGACCAGTCACCGTAACAACTCCTCGGGGGCCGGAACCTGCGGAGCCCCGACTCGGGAGACCGACGGAAGCCAAGTGGGTCTAAAATGGGAAATTGACGGCGAGTGACTCAACTTGGGCTCAAAACGTTTTCAGGGTTTTTTTAGATCGAGCCGCCCCAAGATCAATGCTAAAAGGGTCGGTGGGGTGGTGGGTTTCAGCCACGACTTAAGCCTTCTATGACGACAAATTAGTTACAGCGGGTATGGACTGTGAAGTTTGGTCCGTTTGCATTCACTACATGCCGCGTTTCCAATGCCCCTTCCAGTAAATGATGAAAAGCAACTGCTACAACTGTTGTCATCGTCTAATCGGCAACAGGATGCCAACGAGTCGGTCACTTGGTAGTTGCAAACCCCCTTCTTCAACCAAGGCATCTTCAATGTCTCCTGAACACCGTCCTACAACAAAAGGCATGGATACTGAGCATGGATATGAGGACGAAGTCGAGGCCGCCTCTTCATCATCTTTGCAGGCCACCTCTCAAAGAGCTGTCAGTTTCAACCTGGGTTCCGGAATAAGCGCCGATGTTGGTCGCATTAGCTAAAATCTCAGAAGTGTGATACCTGCCGCGCCCGGAAGGTAAGGCAAACATTTCGACCCATGCTTTTGAAAGTCCCCATACTTCCGTCATGATGCGTCTGTTTAAATAACGATGAGCCATGGCTAACGAACATCTGGCTTTAGATTCGCTGCAATAGAGAACGCCCATGCTCACATTGTGTGAGTAACAATGTCGAATGTACACAAACCGATATCATTAGACCACGGATCAAACACAAACGAGTTTTGTTGACTTCACAATAGTAAGCTTAATTTCCCAAGGTCTTTGAATGCTTCAAAAACGCAAATACGTACGATCCAGTCTGACATTTAGTCTGTGTATCAGTGAGCAGAAGATTGACCAAATTGACTCCCGTCTTAACGAAGCTATTGGTCTGCTCAAAGGCCTCCACGAAACACTCAAGACTAGCCCCGGTGCGCCCTATATTATTACGCCAAAACCTACTAGCATGTTCCGTTCAACAGAGCCAAAATCTAGTTCCATAACGGTCGTTGAAGGAGAGTCTTCGCTTGCTGCCCAATTTTCCTTTGCGGAAGATTTTATACGGAAGGTTGCGAAGACTGACCCCCTTCAAACCTCTGGCTTGGAAATGGGGGAGAGCCTTGAGAACCTTTCTCAGATAGTAGCTGCTTACAAGCAACAACTTGTCTCCGAAGAAACGAACTACCCCAACGCTCGACCTACTAAACGCCCATGCCTCCATACGTGGGAGTTGCCTCCGATAGAAGAAAGTGTTGCGGTAATTCGTGTTGCCAAATGTAAGTGATCGAGCCCTAGTTCTCTCTAAGATTGACTGAAACAACTGCTTATATATATCCTTGTCAGCCCAACGCCTCGCCGGAACAGGTTGGATTTACGAATATCTACCGATGAACCAGTTCTCAACGATTTGTCTCGACGTCTATTTCACCGAACACTATTCTGAAATGGATTTCATTATTGTCAACGCCGGCCTTCATTCGATGTTCAAAGACTACAGCACAATAGTCATTGAGGACGAAAGGGAACGTTGTGAAAGGCACGCTCTCTTATGCTGTGCCAACCTCGAGACAGCGCTTTCCAATTTGCCGTTGCACATGCCTCCTATACCAAAAGCAATCATTGCTCTGCTTTTTGGTGTGAGTGTAGATTACATCTAGATATGACTTTGGACGCTCACCTCGCTGCAGGCTTTTCATGCCATCGAGCTCTCGAAGCCTTTTTTGGCCTGGACCCTGTCTTCAAAAGCGTCAGAGATATGCCAAACATTAGGATATCACCAAGAATCTTCCCTCAAGAGCGGAAGGGAAGAAGATGATCGTTTCACGAAATTTCTTTTCTGGAGCAACTACTTCGTTGACAAGAGCCTGTCGCTCCGCTTGGGCCGGGCGTCAACACTTCCGGAGTGGACAATAACCGTCACTAGGCCGTCATTTATGGATTCCCATCCAGAGCCCGCATTAGCCTACTTCGTGTTATGGGTGGAAGCTGCCCGATGTCAGGGAAAGATTTACGAATTGCTCTACAGTCCAGATTCAGTCGGGCAACGAGACGAAGAACGGACATCACGAGTCAAGAGTCTCATCTCTGACCTAGAGAACCTGGACAAAGCGACCTCAGAAACAAACGCAAGTAATGAAGATACGATTCAAAGCCGGAGAACTAATTCAAACTGCAGAAAAAATGGATAAAAACCGCGGCCGATACCGCCGGGCAAGACTTGATGGACTTTTACGAAACATCGGATGAGACGTTGCGTCTTTCACTACTCACATTAGTCCATCGAGCTGCGCCCCAAGATCTTGGATCTTCTATGACATTCAGTCCCGATTGCGTCAACGCTGCGCGAGCGACCATTGAAAAGCATAAGGACTGCATAGCTGTCATGAAAAGGAGTGGGGATACATACTTCCCAGCATACTTCCAATGGTAAGGACTGCTCATTTCGCGATTACAAGCGTGAATGCTGATTAGCGTAGGACTCTTTTGTTTGCGCCGTTTGTGCCATTTGTCGTGCTTTTTTGTCACGTTATTGAAACCGTCGACCAAGCAGACCTTGGTCGCCTTGGTGAATTCGTCGCGTCTATAAAAGATGCTGCTTGTGTTTCAAGTGCTGCGACTCGAGTACATCACCTATTCAATGCTCTTCATGGTATTGCATTGCGCTACATTGAATATCGATCTGTCCAATCTTATGACAACCAGCCACAGAGCGACCCCGAAATCGACTGGGTGCTTGCCACTCTGGCGCTTCCACCAAGCTGGGATGAGGGCGGTAGCCAGCAATTTCAAGAAGGCGGGTCAAATATTCTCAGAGGCAATGCGGTTGTGGACAATCGACATTGTGACGCAACAACCTTGGAGGAAACAAGCATTGGAGTTAGCGAAAATCGTTCATTGATGCGAATGGGACACCAAATGGAGTTGGAATCTTGGTTCTATAACAGTGAGGCCATGACGGGGATTTTGAAGCAATATGAGACTAAGTCCACTGAGGAAAGCTAGACAGATCTACTTTAATGGAGTGACAGAATGGTCCTCGAATACGAAGACGTATGAGTATGAATGTGGGCTTTCGATGGGTCTGGTGTGAGATTGTCCAAGAAAGTGGCTCATCGTATGGTCCTGTTGTGTTGGACGCGGAGCACTCAGCCAAAGCAGATGTGAGGCAGAAGGTTCTTGCCGTCTCTGAGGCGAAGTGGATCACGCCCGCCGAATGCCGTGAGCGGACGGACTCCATCGCCAAATGTAGGGATTAGAGGGTATGGTATTTGTTCTATGTGCTTCTCATTGAAAGGACAGACAAGAGAAGGGAGAGAGTCGACGTTGGAAAGGTATTCATTGAGGCTTTCCTTAGCTTACAGAGAAATATCATGCTTACATTCTCAGTCAGCATTCTTATATCTCTCTGTGGTCTGCGGATGCACAAATGAAAGACACAGTGGTATCCGTTATCACCTCATATATACTTCTATTCTGCTTTCATTCCAATTCATCTCCGAAAGACTTCATACGCGACGAAGGGTGACATTCGCTCTGTCAACGGGGCCTTTAAGGCCCTCCGCACTCTCGTTTGAGTACCCTTCAGGGGCCACAATTTCTGCCGTTGTTCCGACAGGCAGAGTTGCCTGGATAAGTATCACTCCAGCAGCCTCATCTACGCTGACCTCAACCTCAAGCATGCCTTGCGAAAGTTTGGTATGATAGCGAGCAGACTTGATACCGGACAACACTGGCGCAAGCTGTACTTTACTCCAACCCGGTTGCAGCGGCTTCACGCCAACCACATACTGCGGCAGAAGAAACACTGGCCAACAGGACCAAGCATGCATCAGTGAGGTGTCGTGTCCAAAGGGCTTCCCCTCGGCTGTCATCGCTTCCCAGTGCCCTCCCGAGTAGTTCGGACTTGACTTGTCCGCCATTGGACCCCACACATTTTCAATCAGTTGAATTGCTTCACGGCCCTTTTGACGTGAAAATAGCGCCTCCACGGCAAATCCTGTTGCGTAGGGACTTACAACTCCGGTACGGTCCCAATGTTGAAGCCCCTTAAAAGCTGCAGGCATCCAGCCTGGAGGTCCGGAGAGGTGAGATGCACAAAGATTGCTGTCTGCAGCAACATCAAGTGTAATGGCATAGCCGTTCGTGTCCTGACAGATTCCTTCCTCGGGCAAGGCGGATCCCATACGGATGCAGCACTTTTCAGAGTTCCATAGATTGGCTACAATACTTTTTTTCAGAGTCTCGATCTTTTCAGACAATTGGGATCTTCGGTGGTCGTCGGTGGTCATGGCCTTCACAGAGTTCAGTGCGTCGTAATATGCCAGATTCGTTGTGCCGGAGGCTCCAAAAATAGGTCCTCCAAGCGGATACCAATGCACTATGTTGTATTAGCCAGTATACCATGCAGCTGAGAGACGGGCTTTCATCATACTTGACATATCAGGCGAGACTTCGATCAGTCCCGATGACTTCTCCTGAGATTCAGCGTACTTGAGCAACTTTTCCGCCACCGGAAGATAACGACGAAGAGCTTCATAATCTCCAGAATTCATCCAATAGTCCTTGATGGCGACTACCAACAGCAAGGCGTAAGTCATAGAGTAGAATGCGTAAGTCGGAGGAGGCTCGCTCCCTTCGTGGATAGGAGCCTGAATAGGACATAGATTTCCAAGGTATCCTTCCCCGGTCTGATGGCTAGCAAGCAGCTCGATGCTTCCTGCAACAGCTCCGTTATCCATACCGATATAGGCAACGCCTCGACCTGAAACGAAGAGGTCTCCTCCGAATGTTGCTCGATCTCTCTTTGCGCCATCTATCATGCATGGTACAGCATTCGTCCCAACTTGGAAGTCTGCCAGTGTCCTCTTTTTGTTACCGTATAACAAGTCATTTTGGTAGAGACAATCTCCGTTCGCATCTCTGACATCCAAATTGCGATAGAGAGCAAGCCAGCCCTCAGGACCTCCGAAAGCTACAGAACCAGTGTTGATTCCTGAACCTCCAAGAAGAGGTCGGACCTGTACGTCTGTGATAGTTGCAACTTCTTTCTCGTTGATTATGACGGTGATCCGGTTGCCGCTCGTAATGGTAGAAATTTTGATCCATTCGCCTTGCTTTACAATTCCGTGAGCAGACCAGCTGCCAAAGGACTTGACTGGAAAAACGGCCGATACATGTGACATCCCCTCGAAGGCGCGAAGCTCTTCTTGGATAATGTCCAGGCAAAAGATGACTCCATTGGCAACCATGTGGACGCCCCAACTCGCACCTAGCTCTTCAACGAGAACCTCGAATGAAACTTCCTTGTCGCCCCATCGCGTGCCTTGGCGGCAAGGGGCCCAATGCTGACCAAGAACCCGGGTCCCTTGGTCGGTGATGTCCCATGCTGGGGCTGTCTCGCCTTTGACCACAGTGCACATATCTAGCGTGTTGACACCGTCATTCCAAATGCGGTTGAGTATTTCGTCTGAACAACTGAAAGAAGCCTTGGGTCGTAATGGTGGCCTGATTGACTGGAAACCGAGTTTGCTGATTACAAGAGTGGCATTGGAAGTGATAAGAATAATTTTCAAGTACCTCTGAGATCGTTGCGCGAGTCTTGTTTTGATAGTTTGCTGCGATTCTGATGGTGTTATAGTCATTGAAATATTGCGATAACAGTCCATAGCATTGGAGAAGAAAAAGTAGGGGCCATCGCCTTCGAGATTGTGTTAGTTAGACGCAACAACGGTTGAAGGAGAATATCTCTACCTGTTTCGCACTCAATTCCCTCCTTAGTTTCGCTGTAAAAGATTCTCACGTTGATGGGGCCATCGCCACTCGCACGGTCAACCAAGAATGAAGGAATTCCGCCAATGCATCGGCCATAGTCGAAAGTTATTGATGCCTGTTTCGAAGATCCTTCAGATAGTCCGCCATTTGCCAGAGTGACGACCCCTGACTCATGGTCGCGCAGAGCACCATTAGAGGTCGAAACTAGCCGCGATGGCTCCAAAAGGGTGACATTTGAGAAATCCATGAGAATCTAAAGAGACGTAAGACGCACTGAATTAGAATCGTCGAACTTGCAGGAGATTTCGCCTTGAAGACAATTGACGTGCAAGCAGCCAGGTTTTGAATGCCATGCCTACATAGTAATAAGCCCGGATGGGCATCTAAGCCAGTCCCGTTTCGGGAAATCCGAACGTCTCTAACACTAGGCTTGTTTCGGATCGGCGTCCACCCGGATATGTGGGGGAAAGGTGGACGAAGGTCATAAAAGAGGCGCTACGTCCACCTCAACGCCAATTTGCTTCACGTCTCCGTCCACCCACGAATCGCTCACACATCTCGGCAACTCCACAGAGATCTGGGGCGCATGAGCTTCCCCAGATGACCCAATAGAGTCAATGGGTTCACCAAACGAGGTCGAACAGACTAGCCACACTTGTGAGGTCTGTTCTCGATCTTTTACTCGCATAGAGAATTTGAAACGTCATCAAAAGACGCGTAGGTCATTCAAGAACGAGCACGAAGGAGCTGGTGACGCTTGAGTCCTGACTGTTGTGCTGCATAGACCAGGGCAACCTTCCTCACCGTTGTATAATTTGCCAAAAGAGGTTTTCACGCAGCGATCTGCTCAAGAAACACCAACGACTTCATCAGAAGCTTAACCAAGAGGATGCATTACGTGAAGAGCATGAATTGTCATCAGCGAAAAAGGTGGATTACTCCTTCATCATAGAGGACCCCAACCCACATTCGTCCCTGTCGCGAGATAGAGACAGAGAAACGGGAATTGCACACCCGCCACTTGTTGGAGACTCACGACTACAGTATCCTGATGTTGGCCACGCCATGAACAAAACGCCTAGAACGAGTCATGCCGCGTCTTCAGTTCTTTCACCATCATGCGTCGCGCTCTCCAGGCCACAAGATACAACGGCAACAGCCAGTGATCTTGGGGCGAATGTGGACTTCTCGTATTTTGTTCAACCTTGGCAGGATAGTCTGTGGGTTGACTCAAGCCAATGGTTTACACCGGATTTCTACGACGCGGTAAGAGAGACATCACACATAAGTGATCCTTTCATACTCCAAGACGATTCGATTTCACTATCTGCTCACTGGAACTGGCTGGGTCAATATCCAGCTATGCCTGGCAGTAGTGCATCACAACTGGTCACGAACGACGGCCAAGTCGCACCTTTAGTTCCAGCTGAAATCTCGGACGGGCAAGAGACTATATCGAGAGTCAATTCTCCTCCGAACGTGCCCTCTAGAGAGGACGGTGTAGCGTTTGCGTGGAACCCGTCGTCGAAAAGTCTTTGCCAAACCCATTCGATTTCTATCAGCGAGTCGCACCCTCTTATGATTTTACATAATCCTCGATTCGACATAATAGAATCAACATGGATTCGCGTTCAAGAGTTCCTAGACCTTGGAACTCCCGGCTCGGAGAATCTAATTCCGCCGTCCCTGGCAGTTGCGAATGTGTTTTTGGGACTCTTTTTCGACTGTTTCTATGAACAAAGTCCTGTACTTCACTTACCAACACTCTCAGTTGATCATTTGCCGTCATTTTTACTGTCCGCCATGATCATCATCGGCGCCACATACAGCCGTATCCGGCACACAAGACGCTTCTCTATACTCATGCTCAATAGAGCTCGTCAAAATCTTCAAGCACTGATCGAGGCCGACAAAAGCTTGACTAGACATCCTGAAACTATCTATGCATCTTCTCTCCTCGTGTATACTGGGCTATGGTGCGGAAACAAAGGGGCCTTTGAGACTGCTGAAGCATTCCGAGGAAGTTTGGTGACATACGTCAGACGTCTGTTCCAACCGAAATCGAAGGTCGCGGATGCCGCAAGTAGTCATGTTGAAGATCGTTGGAGGGCGTGGGCAAAATCTGAGTTCAAGCGCCGTTTACGCTGGTATGTGTTCATGATCGACTCACAGTTCCCCGCCATCTTGAACATGCGAAGTATGATGTCTCTCGCAGAGGTCGCTAGGTGGGAGTGCCCGGGCGATGACGCCGCATGGTGTACAACAAGTGCTCTCGCCTGGGAAGCTCTAGTCAAATCCCTGGGGAGTTCACCGGCACCAGAGTTTGGCGTTGTCTACAAGGCTCTTACAAGTAACAGAAGAGCTCAGTCCACCAGGTTGACACCATCAGTCTCTGCTGTTACGGATAGAATCAGCCCGTGGACACAATTCCTGGTTCTAAGCTCTTTGGCTAGCCAGGCACTGGACTGGTCACATGATTGGTCGGTACAGGTCGGCAGTGACCTTGCTATGCTACAAGATATGGACAGTGATTGTCATCGGGAAGGTCTGCGGATACGGGACAACATCATTAGTAAGGCATACTATCTTCTACTTATCTCCGCCAAAGCTGACGCGTTTACTTCAGCATCTTTGGAATCATGGGAGTTCTACTACGGCACCAAGCACAGTGGTAACCCGATCCCGGATGGGGCGCAAAGTCCAGTGCTGTACTTCCAGAAAGCATCTCAAATACTCCGTGGCCTGGTAAACATTCAACTACATACATGCGTTGCTGATTTGCAAGATGCCCTTGGAAAAGGCGGAGCAAATGCTGTTGACGAAAGCCTGGGCCGACTTCGAATCTATTTCACAAACGGGTACACCAGTTATATTGATTCATATCAAGGGCCGCCATTCGAGTCTCTAGACGCCTTTGCCAAATCAGTCATTGAAACTACATCAATCATGAGCAATCCGACACTACAGTCTGCCACACCTTACAGTATCTTTGGCGTCTTCCTAAATCATGTCTTACAATGGGCATTCCTAAAAAGCAGCCCCAAAACGTTGAAGTCGCACCTTCGTAGGCATCTCCGAGATAACGATTTCTCATACCACGGACAGGGCATGTCGGAGCTCACTGGAATACTAGACTTTGGGCTCTCTTCAGCAGACCCGGCAGTCATAAACAGGGACAGAAGCCACTTAGTTTTAATGCAAGCTGCTCAGAATTTGGCGCTACTTGGTACTTGGGGCGCATCGCTCAATCTGGCCCTTTTGCTTCAGCTGAGAGCGAAAACTTAGGTTTGACGCTGTTGATATCAAGGTTTGAGTCTCATAGTGGTCTGCTCAGGAAAACTTTGCAAAAGACCTGAATCCACAATATGCAGACATGAAGGAAGCTCGTTGAGCCTAGGAGATCATGTCTCGTTAACTAAGCTTTAAGTTGCAAGTTTTCATCCACGCCACAATGAATACATGACCATCAAAAGAACTCTCGATTTCGGTGAAGTTTAGTCATCTCCGTATGTAATGACAACCCATTCGTCCAGCACCGTGAAAGTGTGCGACGAATATGAGGTCCTGCCATGGTTGACTAGCTCATGGAAAAGCAATACGAGCAAGAGATCTGAAGCTAAGTTACCTTACCAAATTAGTCTTAGAAACCAGCGTAACTGGAAATATTAAGGTTATGCGTTGCCTCCCATCAGCAAGCTTAAGCAGCATTTGGGGTAGGTAGATCCGCAGCAAGACGGACGTGGCACTAGCTTATCCGCGTTCAGTTGCTTCTGAAGTTCTGGTCAGTCATCAGTACTTCGTCAGTGGGAGTAACTCGCAAGAGCCTCTGAAGCTTTCACCATCAAATCTGATGATTTTCCCCCGTACGTTGCGGTAGGGGCAAGGTCTTCGTGGGATTCTCAACCTACCAAGGCACGTACGTGTCTAGTGATGGCAAGCCAAGGCTGAAGCCAGACAATGGGAAAGAGAGGAGGCAAACGGCACATCTTCACGGAACTGCCGGCTGAATGCCAACAAGTTGAAGAAGATGCAGTGCGTAATTATAAATCAGACTCACTATGAGGAAATGCCAGGTTCTCGGGCTGACGCGCTCCACAAAGGTACCTTCCTCTGAAGAATTGCTTTTCCGTTCGTTGAGCCTCGTCATGTTGTCCTACCGGTAGACACGGAAAAGCTGCCCAGCTTCACAGACGAAGATCCAAATTTGTCGGAGTACGGAGTATTTGGAGAAGTGGTTTTCCGTCACATCCTCCCCCTGTAAGACCCTGGCAACACGCGTCCCCGGTGCTGGTAGCTACCACGTCTGTACTAGTGCAGGGTCCGAATTGAAGACCATTTTCCCGAACCCCGCGCAAGCGGAAAAGCTCGGCGCCCCATCTCCCCCATGGGGGAACGCTCCACCCGGGGGATAGGTCTTCTCTTTATCGTGACTTCAAGCGGAGCCAACGGACAGATGAGATAGTCTGATTTCCCTTGTTACCTTATAAAGAGAAGCTCTGCACAAATGTAAATATGCTTGGGAATGGTAGTGTCTGATACCAAAGTCTCACGGTTCAAAAGCAGCATCGGCCCACGATTTGACCGGTGTCGAGACAACGCACGGAAGGTACAAAAGTCAGCGTCTTTCCAAGTCATCAAAACACGATGGCTGAGCCAAAAATTTCCGAAGAGGGCAAGGCAAATGTCAGCCAAATGGAGCGTGTCTTGACAGGCGGTTCCAATGGAGGCCCCGAGAAGCCTGTTGCCAAGATTGGCAAGGTTGACGAGTTTGGGGCGCATACCAAGACCGACCCCAAGGAGATCGCCCTCGTGAAGAAGATTGACTTCTACATTCTGGTACGAGCTTCAGTAAATGGTTGGAAAAATGTTCCTCTTACTAACTTGACCGAAGCCTATTCTCTGGATCATGTACTTCTTAAATTTCCTCGACCGAAATGCAATGATCAATGGCAAGCTTAACTCGCTCTCAAAAGACCTCAAGCTGAAGGGAACTGAATATAATACTTGTGTATCCATTCTATTTGTTGGGTGAGTACTGTATCTTTGTGTACCTAGGCGCCACTAATCTCAATGTCGGTAGATACCTGTGTGGTCAGATCCCCTCGAACATGATCCTGAACCGAGTGCGACCCTCCTGGTACATGGCGGGTATGTATGCCAAGCATCCAACAAGATACGTGTAGTTCTAATCGGGTAGTCACATCACAGGCTTCATGTTAACTTGGTCGATAATTAGTCTGCTTACGTACCTTGCATACGACTACAAGACAATGTTGGTATGCCGATTCTTTCTCGGTATCACAGAGGCTCCGGTAAGTACCTGTCTGGTTGTTGTTGTCGCCGTCATCCAAGACATAGACTGGCTGACTTTGGTCTAGTTCTATCCTGGCGCACTCTACATGCTTAGCATGTTCTACACTCGCAAGGAAATTGCGACGCGCATGGCTGTCTTTTACACCGGCAACATGCTAGCCAGCGCTTTTTCTGGGCTGATTGCGGCTGGCATATTTGCTGGACTTGATGGGAAGCACGGCCTCGCAGGCTGGCAATGGTATGGTCGAATCCGGCTCATTCAACCCAGATCATAGACTCACCGTGGTAGGCTATTCATTGTTCAGGGTGCTGTCTCCATTGGCGTTGCGTTGGCGGCATTCTACTTCCTTCCCGATGCTCCGCTTCAGACTCGCTGGCTCAGCCTGGAGCAACGACAAATGGCACACCAGCGCATATTTGATGATACGACCGATCGTCGCGAGGGAGGCACCAGTGTCTGGAAAGGATTGCGCGAGGCTTGTACCGATTGGAGAACATGGCTCTTCTGTCTCATGGACAACTTGCACCTTTCAGCCAATGGTTTCAAGAACTTCTTGCCGGTAAGGACTCGCAGCCATAGCTGATCTTTCAGGTTACAATAAGCTGACTAGAGGTAGAGCGTTGTCAAAACCCTCAAGTACAACACAACAATCACATTAGTTCTCACGTGCCCGCCGTACATTTTAGCTGGCATCATGAGCATTGTTGTCTCACATTCCTCAGGCCGTTTTAATGAACGCACATGGCACACAACAGTGAGCAAGCTCATTGCTTGCGCCGGCTTCGCCATGGCTGTGGCCACACTCAACACCACGGTCAGATATGTCGGTATCATGATCTTCGTTGGAGCAACGTATGGGGTTAGTTCACCTAAAATGCCGATTTTCATTCCACCACATTTACTTTATCCTAACGGAATTTTAGGTGAACAATATCATCCTCGGGTGGACTTCAGCAACTTTGGGCCAGACGGATGAGAAAAAGGCCGTTGCGATCGCCATGGCCAACACATTTGGCAACCTTGCTAGCGTCTACACTCCGTACTTGTGGCCAGATTCGGATGAGCCAAGATACTTGACTGCAATGCTTGCTAGTATCGGCTTCTCTCTCGGTGTCGTTGTTTGCGCCTGGATCATGAGGATTGCGCTGCAGAGGCAGAATAGGAAGACCTTGGCATCTAATCCAGATGCCATGAACTTGTATGTTTACTAAACCTCGTTAACACCCGCGGAGAGCATGGGGCTACGGGTTTGATATGGATCATAAACCCATTGGATCCATCCATTCATTGGTATCAGACCAACGGTAGGTAGAGAGAGGACTATCCAGTAGACTGTATTGTGAACAGGTAACATACACAGGGCTTGAATAGACCTAGAAAGTATGTTGAATAGGAGTTGAAGAAATGTATTTATGATTTCTGGGCCTGCTCATCCAAAACCATTTGAAACGCCTCTACAAATGAGTTCTCCCAATCGGCCTCTGTCTTTGTGGGCCTCCAACCGAGCTCTGGTGCCAAAACAGGCTTCGTAGAAGAGCTTAAGAAATCAGTATGTTTGCTTTTCACACCCTTGAATGATTAATTGGCACGCTTGGAAATACTTACTGTGCAGCATAATTCATCTCTGCAACCTGGGGTGTCGCATTCAGCCATCTCGATCCAGCTTCTTCCAAGCTCACGGACCGAGGCTCTATTGACTCCAAAGCACCAAGCGAGCCACCTGCCTTACCAACCAAGGCTGCGAGATCTCGCCAATTGTGACTGCCAGTATTGGAGAAGTAAATGCCTCTCTTGCCAGAAGGAATCGTCTCTCCAGAGAGCACCTTGCTCAATATAAGCTCGTACAGTAGTGCAAGATCCGTAACATGAACATGCCCAAGACGGGCTGTGCCCTCACCTACGTATTCAGGGACGCCAGCCTTGATCGCCCCACGAATAATGCTGGGAATTTGCATTGATCCTTGATTGAAGAGGCCGGTGCCCCGCCCGTAGACTGTGGGAGGCATCATAATATATGCTTTGACTCCGGTCTTCTCTGCAGTCCTAACAACAGCAATATCTGTTGTTCGCTGGCCGTAAGCCTCCTGATTTTCTTTCTTCTCCTCATGTTCGTACACCTTTTCCTTATCTGACCATTGATGAATATCACCCGACTGCTGGGTGATCGTTCTTTCCGCAAGGTTGGAGGTTCCCGATGTCTGGCTCATCAATGATTCTATTAAAGATATCGCAACAAGATTTAGAATAGTGCGGAAACTTACGTGAATGAAGTGAACATCTCTTCCTGACTGCTTCTTCCTCTCTGCTAACCCTTCTAAGAGAGCTACAGCCGAGCGTGTATGGAAGCCAGTCGGCGTGTGGATAACGTAGTCGTGCTGACTTGCGATCTTCGTCAAAAATTGAGAATCATCTAGGCCCGTGAAGATGATGGCATGGATTCCTTTCTGGCTGAGAATATCGGCTTGTTCTTGCCTCCGAACTAAAGCGGTAATCGACAGTGCATTAACGTCTTTGTTGGAAGAGTTCAGGAGTTGTGTCAGAACAGTGCCACCACTAGGAAGCAGTCAGTTTGTCAGGGCAAGTTCAAGTCGGAACAGAGCACGGAGCGCACATGAAGCCTGTGGCGCCCGTGAACAGAAGTTTCTCGGGCATAATGGACAATTTTGATGATGTCTTGCTAGAAATCGTGAAAATATACACAGAATCGTGGAATTTGGCACGATGGTAAGTTTAGACCATGAAAGAATTCTGTAGACCTTACTTGCGTTTCTTCAATGTCGTGGAAATACCGGAATTTGTATTCCGCGGAAAGCCGGGTTCGTCCGTGGCCGATGATGACAGATCTGTGTCTGACGACTGCAGGTCGGCCATACACCGAATTTACACCTCCAGTCATTGACGTCATAGCTTAGCCATCTACCTAATCACATGCAGAATTCACATGAAGACATAACCAGTTTGATGGATATTAGATGGTGGTAGAGGAATGCAACTGGATACTCTAAAATCCACTAGTCTCGTTGATGTGGATTGGACCGGTCAAACTTTTCGCTGCCTACTTACTACCGGTTCCAATTCCACCATAATACTGAGAGGAAGCATTGATATAAGTCTCGATAGCCAGATGCAACTCATGAATTTAACTCATTGACCCCTGTGGAAGTGCGGATATGTCAACGACACTAACCCAAATGTTCTCCTTATTCTCGCTGTAAGCAATCAGCAGCTTCCTGCCAACCTGAACTGCGCTAGGATAGCTAAAGCCAAACGCCCGATTCTTGATTCCATCACGCGTGTCTGGGACAATCTCCTTTGTCGCATTCGTTCTCAACACACCGATCCACTTATAAGTCTGGTCGGCTCCTCGGGATAATGCCAAGGTCAGTGGCTGTCGCTGAGGGTCTGCGGCATTGTATCTTGGATTCGACAACAGAAATCTGTCGCCGGTATCGTCGAGCTTCCCCAGAAATTGTTTTGTCTTTGCATCTGGCATGTTTGTTTGATGAATCGCATTGCCGTGCGAGTTCATGATTTTGGGATACCAGCCGTTCCCCTTTGGATCTGCGTTATACTCAACCCAAACTGAGTGGGTATTATTTGCCTCTGAAGTGATGTCGCGCCAATGTCGTTGCCAGTACCCTCCTGTAGATGAATCACTGTCGTTGTGCCAAACGGCAAAGGTCTGTTCTTCCATTTGATGCAATCCATCGGCGACATATAGACCTTTGTTGTAAAGCCATGGCGACCAAGCCGGTGCCTCATCCGGTCTCCTCAAAACTGCGTTAATTTCGCAGGCTCTGGCGCAGTATTCCATGCTATATTCAGTGCCATACACGGTCTCCGCATACAATTCGGATCGTGTGAACTCATTCTGTTCCAGCCAGCAGGGATCCGCAAGCGGTTCTCCGCTGAGAGAAATTTTACGTGCAATTCGACCTGCACTTGCCCACCGACCTGGACACCACCTACTACCTGATTGGCCGATGGCATAAAGTTCGCCCTCGAGGTGTACGAAGGTCAACGCCTGCCATGCACGCTGAGCAATACCGCGGTCGCACCAATACTTCCAGTCATACGTTACTGTCTGGTTTGGAAGTAGAGCGGCCGGCATCAGGCTTCTCCCTGAGCTCCAAGTTGATCCATTATCGCTCGAGGTCGAGATCCATATGTCTTGGCCCATACTATCCTCGTCGACTGGAGCAGAGGAGTAAATGAGAAGGACATGGGAACCGATAGCAAAGAGTTCTGGGTGGTGCGCGTATGTACGGTTCTCGGCCACTCCGTTGTAGATTTGAATCTCTGCTTTAACCGATATCTGCTTCCATCCCGCAAAGAGTTTATCGTTGTAATCCAATGGCGGTGATACTTGCCACAGTGTATCAGACGGTGGAGGTTTCGCGTGTGTTCTGGTAAGCCATGAAGAAGCAAATAGGAGGCCTATGAGGGATGCGGCATTGGTGATCGCTGATGTGGCCATTTCTAATGATCCAAGTATTTCGTCACTGGCATTCGGTGGGTCGACAATCGTGGTTGTGAAGATTTTGACCGAAGATGTGTTTTAAGCTCGGCGGACAAATGTATCGCAGACTTGAAAACCTTTCGGTGGGCAAGAGAATATGTTATGTAGGTGCCATAGGGGCGCAATGACTCCATACCTAAGAGGAGGCCAAACCATGACTTTCTGCGGCCTGCACGTTGATTGGGGGAATATCCTGTGAGTATCATCCGGCGGCATGGGTAAACGGAGGAATGAGGAATCTGGTTTGTTCCTCCCGCGTCTCCCCACCATACATGGCAGTGCCAGCTGCCTGTACTTATCTTGCTTCCACGAAAGCATCGGAGGATTGATTATAAATTCTCAAGAAAGAGACAGTACCGATTGCAATCTTGCCTGAAACGATTTTCAAGTCGAGCTCTTTCACTTGCACAACTGTACTTGTTCTTCATATGCACGTGGATCCCCAAAACTGAGACGCGCAAAACAGCGGATGATGTAAATGGAATTGCACGGATCAAAGCCCCCCTAAGGAATTTGGGGGATCACGTGGTTTCATTTCTTCTTTCCGAAAGATGCAGGGTTTTCATTGATTCAAATGATGTTACTCCTTCCACCGACTAAGGTAGCTAAGCTCTGCAGCCACAATCAACTTTTGCCAAGCTCTCCAGTCGAAATATCAGCTTCAGCTCGTGCTGTATTACTGCCGGCATCTGTTTCGAAAGATAAGTAGAAGTATGCAGATGTCGGCTATTGTCCGATCACGGTGTACTACGATAGTACAGAATAATATCTACAGGTTCAATTCACATGGCGTATTTATCGGTTAGGCAGCCCCTATTCCATCAAAAAATACCTCGTCTAACAAAGTATACAGCACCTGCTGTCCTTCCCACTGCTCTTCCGCGGCGCCCAGAATGCGATCGGGAGGCAAGACAAAGCCGAAATCTCCTGTATCAGGAAGCTCAATAGTGTAGGAGAAGTCCGCGCCGCCAATCGCGTAAACATGGTCAGGTGCTGCCCCTGTGGTGGTATAGAGGGTAGCACCGCTGGGCCCGAATGTGAAAGTCGTGCGTCTCTCGGAGCTGTCACGGATGACCTCGCTGAGCACCGAAGCAGTCTTGGTCCACTTGCCGAGCTCGGGAGCATACCACGTCTCCTTGGAACCGAAGGGCGAAAGAATATATTGGCCGTAACTGTGCCAATCAATATATAATTTGACACGGCTGGTATCGCGCAGTTTGCGGACGTAAGCGTCTAGGCCTTGGTTTTCGATGGTGTCGGAAGGCTTCTGGCCGCGGTAGGATTGGGCACACGGGTTGGTAGAAGCGCCAAACGGATTTGCGTCCCATCCGTACTCCCAGTTTCTGTTGATGTCGGTTCCGTAGCAAGTTGAATTCAAAGGTGGGGGGGTGCGTGTCTTGCGCCAGAGACGGTCGACTTCCTGGGAGAACGTGAAGCCTGGTTCAGGTTAGCGCTTGTGGGTTCTTTATGAGAAAGTCCGCAAGGCCTGACTTACCATCTGGATTGACGATGGGGAAGATGTGAAAATCGTGTTGATTCAAGATGGAATCCGAAGCATTGGTGGCATTCTTGTGTGCGTTGATCAGCTGTAGAGTTATATATTCAATGACCTGTGCCAGGGCATGATTAGCTCAGTTATGCCCAACAATTTAACAATATCATGCATTGGCTTACAGGGGCTGCAATCCACTCTCTTGCGTGAACGGTACCACTATCGTATCGTCATCAGAATCTGATACCGTACACAGTAATAGTTGTAGTTGGTGGCTAAGCCATCATTCTTACTGGTAGAGTACGGCGGGCTTTCCCGGACCCTCATCGCCGAAAAGGTGGATTCCGTGAATTGTCCGATTCTCGAACGATCGCCCCGAGTATACTAGCTCAGAGTTTCCAGGAAAGGCTTCGTGGAGGTCGGTGAAGTATTGGACATGGTCCGTATACGAGTGGTACGAGTCGAACCATGAAAGATCGTTGATGTCGCGCTTATATGCGGTGTGAACTTGAGATTCGGCGGCGATTGACTCGCCGAGGTCTCTGTGCAGGGTGCGGTAGTCTAGTCCAAATGACTCAACACTGCTGACTTGGTCTGGCGAAATGACGATGTCAATGTGATTATCGACGTCGTGGTTCCATTCTTCATGAGGAATTGTAGCAAGTTTAGCTTGCACAGTTGCCAATTGGTTGAGTGTTTTCACTCGGAGAACCTGGTAGCCCTCATAATTTACTGGACTCCTTCTTTGAAAGTTGAAGCCGACGGCGAGCGTAGAAAACACGGAAACGATGGCGACAGTTCTCATCTCAGCGACACGTCAACAAAGATTGCTAGTATGATGACACTGGGAGACACAATTCTCGAACATCCTAACTGCTAATAGCGCACTTATAGGTACGCTGTTTTTGCTTGTCGAAATCACACATCGCGACACACCGTCAGTGCCAAGCTGCAGAAGAGCAGTAGATCGATTGCGTGCGCATTAGGCAGCCTCCAGACTGGACCACGAAGTCGATGGAATCCCCAAGCTAGCAATTATCTCTTTCCGGGAGAAGCAAGTGTCCAAAAATTCTTTAATAACGCGTCGCCATGCATGACGTAAGGATCAATATCACCTTCCCCTTTAAACTTAGCCAATGCATGGCATTTTGACCCCTCAGGAAAGTTGACTTTTCGTGATTCTTGTTGAGTATGACGTCTTTTTTCACGGGATAGCCCTCCTTCTTCTTCCAAAATTTGGAGGTACTTCATAGCGGAGCCACGTGTTACTCACGATGGCATCTCCATAGAGCTGTGAATACCTATCCCATCCACCGTTATGCCAAGAGATCGGCCGAAGAAAGCCGGGTAGATGTAACCGAATAAGATATTCTTGAGAATTGGAGGAAAGGTGTTCGGGTTCTTGCTCAAAGCCTTGAAGACAATGCTTTGGAGCCACTGGAGACAACCCGAAGTAGGATGAGAGCTATAAGGGAATCTTTAGCGTAGCTCGCGCGCTGAAGCTTCGTGCCGCAGACTTGTGGTATCAAATGGTCGGTCAACAAGGGCTTAGTGAGATCCAGGCCGCCAGGAAATCATGATGTCGCATGGTGTCGGTTTATCTAGCGGAATACCTTTGATAGTTGAAACCATGGCTGGCCAATCACCTGAAGGATCTTTGAGTGGACACAAGCTCGTTGCTCGCCCAGGACATGTCAATATTGGTTGCACTGTGATATAAGTGGCTTACCTATGTTTGTCAATACCGAAGCCGCCGGACAAGAAGTCTAGTTTGAAAAGAGTGATCCTTCATCCGCACCCGGGGCCATGCAGCATAGACAGCATGCAGACTGCTGGGTTTGTTGTTGTTAAGCAAGTTAAGCTCAAGCTTCCTACACATGGCTAGCCTCGCCTCAAGGCTTCAGATGGCGGGATCTTCGGTCCCGGTTGACAACAGTCTGCGGGCAGTGGAGCAGACCACAGTTTTGTCCTGAGACCAAGTTTTCAATCCAGGAAGATCCTAAAATATCTCATGACTTGGATGCTCAATGCCGGCAAGGGCGAGCTGACGAAAGCGATCGACAGGTGGTTGGTTACAAGGGTAAGAAGGAGGCTTAGAGAATTGATGCAGCTGCAGATCATGGGAGAACATCAACAACAGGGAGGAGCTTGACAACCCACGGTTGAGAGTAAGAAGTATATATCTTCGAACGATTTACATGTAATACAGTAATTTCCCTGTGATTTTTTGCCACAAACAACTGGCCTCGCGGAACCATCTACTCTCCAAGCCTTCAGAGACGCTGCTTAGGCTTTGTCGATTTCTTACACACCGTGATGCAACGCCCCATATTGGGAACAGATGGAAGTTTCTTCCAAGTCTCATCAGCGATTATTGATAGAGGTAATATGGTGTTGTTGGAAGTTGACTGACCTACAGCCGATTTTGTCGACTCCTTGAACTAGTCGGCATCACAGTTGAACGTAACACCGTCAGGCTTTCCACCAGCCTGGCACGCCGCATTCGCAGACTTGCAGTGCGTACTATCGGGTTTCACATCCTTTGCGCAACAAAAGTTGCACATTGTTCCTTGAATAGTGGCACCGCAATTCTTAGGCTCCACGCAATGTCGTCGGACAAGAGAGTTGGGGGCGAAGTCGGACGGCGGCATTGCCGCAGCCAGAGGCAGCAGGATAAGAGAGATTCGCATATTGACCATCACTACTGGAGTTGGAATGTAAGCTTTGCAAGGCTAGCATGCGATGAGATGCGTGTCATGGAGAGTCAAGTTTAGAAAATGCGCAGATGTCGAGAGCGGAATGCAACCCTCTTTATTCTTGCTCCAATATCGCGCAAAGCTGGGACTATAGATAGGCAATCATTTTCAGACTGATTATGGATGAAGAATAGACTTCAAGTGCAACTTGTCACAGGGCATACTTTGAGCCTAGCTGATTGGTGATGGGCAGGAAGGTTTGTTTTCCGAATCTGCCCAAAGCTACCCTCAAAAGTATACCAGGGCTCACAGAAACGGCGGCTTTAGGGGCATAGCAGTGAGCAAGAAAGAGGTTTATTCTCCAACTTGCTCCAGAACCTATGTATTTGCGCGACGACTTCAGAAACATGCTCTAGTTATGCATCTTTTTGGTTGGAACAAAGCACGTGTCGCAACGCCGCCGTTCTTCATAATACCTACGATTCAAAAGCACCAATTCGCAGCGCCGTGCATTGGATTTGGGGAAAGCTGATGAGGGTATTCGAGGCTGTTTTGCTTTTTACTCGCCTTCGTCAGATGTCCGTTTGAAGGGGAGAAGTCGACATAATTGTATATTTGAGGTGGTTTCGTCCGATGAGATGACGCACTCTCGCATCGGCTCCAAAAGCCCTCCGTGAACTCTACAAACAGTGCCTACCTCGTTACATATATGACAAGGATATGGGGACCAAATACTGCAAAGTCCATTCTTGGCCATCGCCTCAGAACCCTTCGACGCCAAGGTCAGGGACATGCTCATCGCACATGGTCCTGTCCATGTCGACGGATTATGGAAGCCGCTGTACCAAAATACCGGCTACTCTTGCCTTTCATGCACGACGGTTTCGTTCTCGGGTATATTCAAACTTTCTTGGTCGTCTCGAAGACTTAGACTTGTGAGCTTGTGAACTTCTCTTCTCCCATTGGGCACGGGGAACCCCGCGTCTGAAACCGAAGAGCTAGCCCGTACACCAATGGGATGAATCACGACAGTCTGGAGATCGGTCTTGCTTATTACTGATGGTGAAAGGTGTTATTGGTGATGCTGGCATACTTTAAACTCAGCAAATTTGAGGGTTTGGGAGTGCGAGCTGTTCGGGTCAAACATTTCAAGGTAGGGAGATGATAAGTACTGGTTTAGGCACAGCATCACAAGAGTACAAAGATCAAATTAAGGAAAGGACCAGTCGCTAATCAATACAAAGTTGTGTAATGATTGTTTGGGGAACGTTGTGTGCCGGGAGCCACGTCGACCATCGTTTTGAAAACTTAACTCGCGGGGTGCATTTACTGCTGGCATCGTTTGACGCAAGCCTTTCTCTCCCAACACAAAGAACATCGGTAAACAAGTAAACAACACAATAAAAGAATTAGCAAAACTCCACCCGAGATCTAAATCCAGTTATACAGATGATATTACAGTAGGGTAAATAGCTATTACACACTCAACTTCTAGGCCTTCCCATTGGAAGTTATAAACTCAAACTCTTTGAAGTCAGCTCTTGCAAGTTCTTTTTCGACCCAACTTGCTATGCTTTCTACCGCATGATACGGGCTCTCTAAATGTACCTGGAAAAACCCCTGCAATTGAGATGGAGTTAAGGTGTCTTCCGGTATCATGCTGGAAAACTGAACAGAAAGCTTTTCGATTTCTTCCATTTTTAGGTGTGTCGTGCACCCTAGGTCTGGAGAAAACATCCGCACGAACATGTCCGCCGCTGACTTTGGGCTAATATTGCCCAGAAGGACCTTCATGTCGACACGGCCGGGCCGAATCAAGGCACTATCGAGTTGCTCGGGTCGGTTCGTAGTCATAATGACGATACGGCCCTCCTGCGATCCAACGCCATCTAAAACATTCAGTAGTCCGGAAAGAGTGCAATTGGGCACATTGCTGCTCTCCGGTGAATGTGCGCGCCCGTTCCCGCTGCTGATCTTCTCTTGATTGCTGGAACGCTCCACCCATACGGCATCGATGTCTTCAAGAAGAACCACGCATCGCGGCGGAATCTCCTGGAACATCTGCTCCAGATCGGCATCCGTTGCCACACTAGGGATCTTGACCTCGTAGAGATCCAATCCAAACTCGCCGGCAATCGCCACAGAAAGCGAGGACTTGCCAGTTCCGGGCGGGCCGTAAAAGAGGTAGCCTCTCCGGTACGGCATACTCCGGCTTTGATAGCGCATCTGGGTCTTCGGATCCAGGTAGTTCCGGATATCAGCAAGCAACTCCTGCTTCAAGCCGAGGTCAAAGTGCACGGTGTCGAGGTGGCGAAGGGGCTTGCGGGCTTTAGCTTTCCATGACATGCCGTAACGGTCACGGGAGTAGATGATAACGAAGTACTGCGTCTGCCTGTCGGTGTACTCGCGGCAGGCCTCAATGAAATTCTGGACAGGATGCGCCGACCATCCGAAGCAGCTGATGGTCAGGTCCTCGCCTCCGATTCCATCATAGCTAGGGTCGGATAGCGAAGAATTGAAATCTCCAACGGCACGTGTGACGACAAAAACGTTGCCATTGAACCAAAGCCCCCGTGTATTCCAGTGTGGACAGTACTGAACGGTGTGGCGCGTCTTCTTTAGAGCGGCGGCACGGTCTGGGCTGGCGCGTCCAACCTCGGTACGACCGGTGAAGGAGCGATAATGCCGGGGCCGGTTGGCGAGGACCCATTTCACAACGCTCCGATTGACCGGGTCACCACCCGGAATTGTGACGGAAGCGAGAAAAAAGCGCCGAATGCAACTATACGCTTCCCGCCAGGCACATTGCATTAGTCTCCAAGCCGTAGGAAGGGTGCCGGCTATGGCAATAAGGGAGCCAATTTGTGTGATATCGAGCTCGGACCACCGAGTAAGAACGTCCCTCACCACGCCCGCTCCTTGAGACCATGGGTCGAGGAGGGCGTAGCTCGCGCCGGCGATATGGAACTGGTGGGACATTAAGGCGATGAACTCATTCCGAGCCGTCCCAGCCTGTCAAAAGATGCAGATCAAGGAATCGGCACGCAACTAAAGGGAGGTCAGAATGTGTTCGATTGGCCAAGCCTGTTCAGAGGCAAGGTCCGAGAAATCTGGTCAGAAAGTGAGGCTCAGGCAAAGCCTGGCAAAGAGCAAGTCAATACAAGAAGACAGACAGAATGGATCAACGCATGTTGATGAAACGAGTGACAATGAAGTAAAGCAAAAATGTGAACAAGGGATTGCTTAGCAAGATCGTGCGAGGCTAGCTTGTGGTCATTTCGAAGGGTCGGAAAGCTTTTTTCCCCCTAACCTGCACTCCAGAGATCCAGAGAAGCCATATTCACCAGCCACACACGAGCCACAAGGTACCAGAGATCCCACCATCGGCGGACACCTGACGGAACATTAAAACCCCGAGCCACCTTGACCTCGCACGTTCTAGGAACAACTTTGGCCCGTGTGAGACCAGGTACCTGGGTATACACTGATTTGAGGGATCTCCCTGAAGTATTAATCGTAAGTAGTAGTTACAATAGGTAGGGTAGGGTGCAGTGGACAATATTACCTCCGCACATGGACCTCTCCATAAAGTATCCTGGACTCGGGAAAAATCATCGCAGCGAAGCCAGAACCATACGGGTCTGCAGATGGATGAAAGATATCTGGATTTAGACGGCTGCAGTCAAACTATTGTTTAACCGCCATCTGGCCACAGCAAGGATGGCAGCTCCGACCACGAGAGTTGCGCCGGTCCACATCGATAACGCGAGATATCCGGCGTGCGCAAGAATCTGGCCGCTGATGGGAGGCCCGACAAGAGCGCTGCCCATTATCATGATCAGTAACAACAAATCGCCCTAGGCATGGAAAAAGAGACGAGGGACGACTCACGTCACAGCGATGGAGCCCATCATGCAGCCGACAGCCAACCCCTGATGACGATGATGCGCAATCTTTCCTATGCATGCACCCTGCAAGCTCATGATGGCCTACAAATGCGTCAGCCATCGTCACGGAAGATCACAATACAAATCTACTCACTCCAGATGAAAACCCGTACGCCAAGCTCCACACTACCAAACCAGGAAGAGACGTCGCCGCTGTCCAGGAAAAACCAACGATACCAGCCGCAAGAGTCGCCAGCGCGCAAAGATTAAAATGCCCATACCGATCTGCAAGAAGACCAGGGACAACTCGTCCCAGAAACGAAGCGCCGTTAAGCCCGGACAAAAGGTAAAATGCTGTCGATGTGGACAACCCGTATTGAGCGCCGAAGCCCGTGATAAAGAAGAGGGGAGTGAAGAGTCCAAAGTAGCCGAGCGCTAACCCTCCACAGAGAAGTATAAATGTCGTATTCTTCAGGATCGAGTAGCCGGACTCCGTTTGAGATTGTATCTCATCATTCGATGATACCGCTCCCTTCTCGTTCTTATCCAATACCGCCTGGAGTGGACTCAAAGATGCCTTGGGTGTGGGGGCATCAACCACAGTGATGCAGGTGATAGCGAGAAGGGGGACCATGGTGAGAGCAACGACCCGCATAGTCCAGCTAAAACCGAGCTGGCGTTTGTTCAGCAGTTGCTCCAGCATGATCGGCCAGATGATGCCACCGATGGAGGACCCGCCAATTGTGAGGCCCAGGGCAAGGCCACGGCGATGAGGCATGCGGCGTGACACCACAGCCACAGGGGGACAGAAAATGAGCGACATGCTTACTCCGAGCAAAACTCCCTGGGCTAAGAAAGCCTGGTAATACAGCTTACAGAGAGAAGTCATGAAGAGAGCAAAGACTTGACCGATGCTGCCAATACACAAGAGAACCTGGAAAGCGTGAATCATAGAATCCGCATGTCGACAGGGTTGAAGTCAACTTCCCTCTCGCCTAATTTTTCTTGGCATCTGCTGTTAGTGAATGAGTGAGCCTACCACCAAATTACTAACAGCCGAAAACTCTTCACCTCCCCTTGCCGGAGCCCGCATCCGCGATGGCCTCACAGCCGCCGTCGGGCACCGGACTGATGTCGGCCGACCAAGCCGACCCCGAACCAGGCTCCGGGACACCTCCGGAGCCGAACCCCACCTCAAGAGCTAAGCGACGCCGCGACGCCGAGGCACAGCCGACCCGGCCCAGCCTAACGGGAAGCCAGCTTGATGCCACCACCGACGCCCCTACCTCGGCCGAGGGGCCCGCAGCCTCTACCGCATCTGCTCCGAGCGGATCTGCCACAGGGTCCGTCTTGACAGCCCTTGCAGAAGAAGCTAGACAGTACGAGGCACGGAAAGACGTCTTTCTGACCATTGCACGGTCCGTCGACAGCGTTGTCGCCAGCTTTGACGGTTCTAGAAAGCAGATCGCGAAAGAAGCCACTGCCTATGTCATTCAAACCCTCAAGAGACTGATCAATCACGAGACAAGCCCAATAGCGGCCCGGAGTTGGGCGGCTGTCGTCGCACCGATGGCGGGCAACACCACTGCGGCGACCCGGAGCGGCCAGAGCTGCCAGAGCTCTGCCCGCCCGAAGGCCACACTCCCCGCCGAGGATCAGCCGCAGGCGCAGCCGAAGGAGGACCTCCGCATCTTTGCCCGCGTCCCGGAAGAAAGCTTAGCGGCCGCTCGGAAGATCGCACCGTTCGCCGTACGACAGATCGTCTGTAAGGCCGTTGGCCTGGGGCTAGCGGACCTTCCCCACGTCTACCATATCAGCACAGGTTACTCTCTGAAGCCGCGAAACAAGCAAATACAGGAAAGACTACTTACAAGTAAGGCAAAGCTGGCGGAATGCCTCGGCGCCCACCAAGTCGAGACGCCTATCAAGTGGCACACATACGTTGTGCCGCGATGCCCAACAAAACTACACAGCATTGGCGGGGACGTCCTGGACCCAGCCACACTCGTTGAAGATGAGGTCTTCGCACAGACAGGACAGAAGCCTGTCCTTGCTCGACCGTCCCGCCTTGGGCCCAACCCAGTCACGAACGAAATATCTTGGCTCATATCATTCACATCAGAGGTCACGCCCTTCAGGCTCTTCAACCAAAGCGGCAGATCTCTGCCCATCAAAAAACGAAGGACGCTCATCCGACATGACCCCGGCTGCCAGGGCTACCACGCCAACCGGTTCTGCGGACGACGACCGACTTGCAGCAACTGCGGAAGACCTTCCGACTCACACGAAACGGGACCTTGCATGGCCAGGCCCCAGTGTCCCAACTGCTGCGGCCCCTTCCAAGCCGGCCACACAGACTGCCCAGCGAGGCCCTCGGTCGTAAACGGCGTCGTCTCCCTTCCCGGTCGAAAGGAGCGGGCTCGGATCCGGAAGGCCGGCCAGAAAGCATCGGACACTCTGTACAAGGCTACTCGATCCGACAGTAGCCAGGAGGCGGCAGGCGTCCCTACCTCCACCAGCCAGAACCAGCAACCCGGCGCCAAGCGCGCGCGCACGAGAACGCCCTCCGCAAGCTCGATCGTTTGCCTCGGTGACGGAAGCACTGACAGCAGCAGCATGGATGAAGACGAGGCGGACGAAGGCGAAGGCGAAGACTCCCCCGACAACACCTCCATCGACCGTCCCGTGCTACCCATGCCAAGCAGGAGCCAACGGGCAGCACAGAAGCCAAACTACAACGTCGCGAATGCCTACACCCACCTCGAACTCGACTCGGAGACGTAAGCCGAGAGCGGCGACCCCACGGATGCTACGCGTTGCGCAGGGCAACGTCGGAAAGATCTCCCCGGCGCACACGGCTTTCCTGCAGCTCTGCTGGGAGGCTCAGATAGATGTGGTCCTCGTCCAGGAACCCTGGACGGGCTGGAAGGACGGAAACGTGCAACTGAACACGCACCCGGGTTTCGACTCTTTCGTCCCGGTCGACTTCTGGGACAGCGAAGGAACCAGACCAAGAGTATTGACCTACACACGCAAAGGGATAGGGATGACGGTGGAGCAGCAGAGGCCTGTCCACACGAGAGACGTACTGTGGCTGGTGGTCGACAAAACGACGACTATCGTCAACGTGTACAGACAACCCCGCGAC